TTTGTATTCAAACCTAGATTTTAGATTATTTTTTTGGAAATAGTTTTATAATTTAAAATAAATCAATAAAACGTGTTTTGATCTTAAAACGAATAAAATTGAAGATCTTCGAATCAGAAGACTCCCACAGAGAAGTAGTAGAACTTTGGTGTTTTTTATTTTGTGATTTGATGGTTCTACAGATTTGTGTTTTTTTTTTTCGAGGAAGAGTTATATGTAGTGTTGAGAAATGACAAATGTATCCAAGTGTCGTAGGATCCTGCGTTTTGTACGCAATGCGATGAGCCAGTTACCGTAATCCTCGCAGCGATTTAGGGGGATTTTTATTATTTCGTTTTTTTCATTTTTCACTCAATATTCGTATTTTCTTTCGAAATTTTTTATTTAAAATCTGTAGAATCCGATTTTAATTATTTATTCGGCAGAATATGCACTTTTAAACTATATTTTTTGGTAAAAATAGCAGAAATTTTAAAAATTAAAATACGAAATTTAAAAAAGTTCCTGTAAATCGCCTGGTGGATTACGGTAACTGATTCATCGCATTGCGTACAAAACGCAGGATCCTACGACATCTAGATTCATTTGTCATTTCTCCTACAGTGGTTGAATATTTCTGAAAATGAATTTAGAAATCGATGCTCAATAATTATTATTGAAGTCTGGCTCATCTAAAATTACCATCCGCTTTCTAAAAAAAATGGTCGCGCGCTAATTTTTGATCCACTCATCACCCCTCTATCTATTTATTGGCTTCCAATGTGTATAATTGGCTAGTTGGGCTCGCGCGCTCGCGTGAATCCGGTTTCTCATCGTACGCGAGCGACAAAAAAACTTGGAGGAGAATGGGAAACGCGAAATACGTATTTCGAAAAAAAAAAGCGGGGCGAGAGGCGAGCAGACGCGCGGAAAAGTCGAAAAACAAACAAAAATTGAGATATTGCGCGGCGCATACACGCGCACACGCACGCACGCACGACTGTATGTCCAGTGACCACCAGTAGGATGATTGCGGCGGCGGCGGCGACGACGAAGAAGAAGGTGGCTGCGGCGGTTACAACCGCCGACACAAACCTGGCGCCGCCCACTTTTGGCGTTGGTGCACGAATAGACGCGAGTGTTTGCATAACACCTCCCCGCTTCACTATTATATGTCAGATCCGAAGCGTGCAATTCCAGCAACTACACACATACAATCGAAAGGGGACGAGCGAATCGAATGGTCAAACAATCCAGCCAACGGCCGTCTAGATTTTTTGGGGCCAAGCATCGTTTTTTGTGTTGATCACAAAAAACTTTCGAGTAGTTTGTCATAGCGGATTTGAGCTAGTAATATGGAATATAGTTTCAAGGATAAAATTGCTAAGAAAACACAGCAAAATGCGCTTATGGTGTGAGTTTGAGTGAATTGAATCAATTGGTTTGCAATTGTAATTTTAAAAAATTTAGTTTTAAAAATGACTGAGCTACAGTAGTAAAAACGGTTTTTGACTTCTACACGGTTACTTTTTAAGATGTTAATATAAAAATTCGAACATTTAGGTTATTTTTCATGCTGAAAACGATTTTCACACTGGTTGATCTCAAAATATCGAAATCATTGCGCGTTGCTCAAATTCGGGATGGCCTAATAAGGCTAATAGCACTTTATAGCTATAGGTCACATATCAATGAATCTTCGATGCAAGCAGAAAAAAAAAATAAAATCGTGAGGTCTCTTCTATTTTTTCCAAATGCCGATATACCTCAGAAAATCTTTATTCATTTTTTTTCGTAATCTAGTCGTTTTGGTTTGTGTTTTTTTTCCAAATTACTCAAATCGTATTGTTAGGTTCTCATTTGGATTCCTATTATTTCGGACACACACACACACACACATTTGCCATTTTTGCTCATATCTTCTATATGTACCTAATTTACTCGTCTTCGTTATAATCTGTATATATTTTTTTTTATTGAAAACGATTTCTCGCTGGTAAATAAATCAAAATTGTTGTGCAGTAAAGATTTAGTTCAAACCAATTGATCTCATCCAATCGGATTGTGTTTGGAGTGACTCTCGTCGCCACTCGGGAGCACACAATGTCAATATCGAATACGGGCTATGTTTTTTTTAATGCTTTATGTTCGGAGATACAAGACACAAAACGAGTAAAACTCTTGTTGGCATCTTGACCGCGTGGCCGCCGTGAAGTTGTCTAAAAATAGCGCAGTTCTGTGCCTCAAATAGACCGATTCGCGACAAAAAATCGCAGCGACGTCATCGCAAAAAAGTTCGTCGACTAGAAATCACCGGAAATCGCCGGAAATCGGTGATGGCGAGCGCAAACACGTTTTCGGGTTGCAATATTGTCGATCGTACAACGATAGCTGATAACGTGATAAAAATGGGTTTTGATGAACCCAAAATAGACGATGACGTCAAAACGGCCAAGGGTTTCGGGTTGGGTTTGATTTAATAATTGTTGATAAGAAATGCTGGAGGCATTTTAGTTCCCCATGAATTTCAAATATTAGAATGAATTGAAAAGGAAAGAAAAGACCAAAAAGGTTCGTTGCGAGAAATGGAATACCGAGAATATGGATTAATATTCAATAATCCCTCGATTTTCTTCTGCAAACTGCTGATGATGTCGAAATTTTGGAATTCAATTAAGCGACATTCACTCGAAAAAGTATTGCGAATTTCGATTAGAAAAAAAATAATAAAAATCTTGTTCATACATCCATGAACTCAATATTGAACACTGTTTTATCGTTTCTTTTAGCATTTGCAATCATCACTTCCGTTTTGTTTCGATTTGATCGAACTGGGAAGATAGGCAACGGATGAAGGTGATATGTCGAAGAATTCATGTCAATCAAAATGATAATCGGCAAATATTTAATGATTCAAAAACTGAGAAATCGATATTTTTGATCGCAGTGGAATAAGAGAGAGAAAATTGATAGTTTTTGTTTTTGTTATCGACATCCAACAGAATTGCAAATACTTTCACTTATTCGCCAACCCAATGTGAGCCCCGATCACCCCATCTCATATTTTCCTCTTCTTTCTTTTTTTTAATATTGCTAACAATTGGTTTTCCTTTTCACTTGGTTGTTATTTCGTTGCAAATCCTCTATATTTGATTTCCTTAATCCAAAAGAAGCTAAAGAATCACGAGTCTCAAATCCCATATAATTAAACAAGCGTCATAAGCTGAAAAATGCGGATATCATTTATGGATTCCTCATTTTTTTTTCTAATCAATATAAATGTGTTTTTATAAAAGGGCGAAATATATCGATGAACGAGCAAAACGAATGATAAGAACGACAGGAATTTCATTATCATTCCTCATCAAATATTTATCGTTCATTTTGCACAAAAAAAACGGTTGATGTTAGACGAATGCTTCTTTTAGTTGGAAATATGCACATTAATGGTGTTGAATGACTAATCATCGAATATTGTTAATCCGGTTAAAAAAAATGATCAAATTAACGATGTAATCTCAATAACAATTAGTATAATTCAAATGTTCAAAGCAACTTTTTCGTTTCGCGATGAAAGGGATCTGAGAGTTAATTTTCAACATTTTTGTTTAGATGAAGTAGTGCGCCTTTAATAATGAAATCAATACATGTTGTGAAAAAATGACGAATGTGAAAAACTGCAGCGAAATCCTATGCATTGTGTGCGTACACCGAGTAGCACATCTCGATCTTAGCTACAGTAATCTCAACTTAAAATTATTTAATTAATCATTGATCATTTCTTTTTATATAAAACAATTAACTCGGAATAATATACAAAACTTATTACTATTACACTTTTTCAACAACCATATATATAAAACTGCAGTTTTTCACATTCGTCGTTTTTCCACAATATTTAATGTATAACCGGAAAACAAATAATTCTTTCGTGTTAAATCTAGCATATTTTAAAAATTAATATATTCCATAATTTTCGTTTTTTTATTGCACAACTTTCAACGAGATTTTAAGGCAAAGTGACCAATAATGACGATTTGATTAATTTTAAAAATTCAGAAAAACGTGTGTTTTTGGTCATTTTTCAAAACAGTTGTTTTCCGGAATCAGCTTTAATATAATCTTTACATTTTTTGAGGTTTCTTGACCTTCGAAGAAGTCTACAAAAAAGACAAAACCAACATTTTTTTATTTTAGAAATAATAAATTTTAAAACGCATAATGTTTTGCAACTACTTCACACTCTGCCATATTCAATCGGTATTTTCATTAATTTTTGAAATCTCAAAAAATTGTATCCCTGAATACGAATTCGCCAATTTTCGTCAATCTCCATATTCGGATTAGTGCTAACTTTGTCGTCTAGAACACCCGAACGAATTGCATTTTAATTGGTCTCGTTACACAAATTGAGCTCATATTCTCTCGTTTGCCGCAAACAATCTTCAAATTACATTTTGGGTGAAAGTGTAGAAAACGTTTCTCACATCATTAATGGCGGCTATATGGGAATAAAAAAACTTGAAAATTGATAATCTGAATGCTAAGTACGATTCTGTACGAGACTCGTATGGTTAGATGAGACGTCTTCGGGCATCGTCAAATAAAACACCAAAAAAGGAGGCAACAAATATTCAGAAATTCGCTAGCACGTGCTGCTGGCGACAAAGTCCATTCATTTCTAGCCAGCACAACGTCATAATAGAAAACGAGCGAAAACATTTTGGAACGAAAGGCGCAATTCCATCGACACACAACAAAATCATGAATAGCAAAACCATTGCACTTGGTTTGTCGTGCGACGTCGTTGTTTTCTGTTTGTCGAGAAGAAGAAGTCGAAGACGAGACGTCAGGTGACGTGTTGTTTGCAATAAACCTTCACCAAACCAATTTCTGTCAAACAAAAATTATTCTCGGCAAATCAAAAAAAAAAAAAAGAATCTGTTATTTCATCACAAATTATTATTACTATTTAGCATAAAATAAACGTTGTATTTTTATTTGAAAATATCGAAAAAAATCTACACGTGATTCGTCTTGGTGGTTTGTGGCAACGGTGTGGTTTCAGGAATCGATGAGTATTCCATGTGTTCATCGTCAATAAATGGGTCGCCCATTTCAGGAAAATAGTATAAATTTTTCCAATGCACGTCTTGACCCTTCTCCAAATAGGTAACAAAATATCCGACATCAAAAATCATTCCTTTTGGATTGTTACAGTCAGCTCCATAAACTCTAAATTAATCAATGAGCACAAGATAGATACTATTTTGAGAAAAAAGAAATGAATAATGAAGCTAAAGTGATAGATGCACTTCGAAACAAAAGACCTACACATTTCTATAAGGATTAGAACGATCTTCGAATATAACATGATTTGCGAGGAGGTTGCAAGCACCTTTGCAGGCCAACGCCGAGTCATTATTATCCTCCGGCATCTGAAATAAAATCGATTTGTTTGGAATCATGAAACTGTTTCAACAAAATTTTGGCGAAATTTCAAACACGTGCAGAAAATACAGTATATATCAAAGGTGCACAACACAAAAAAAATGGTCATTTCGCGGTATCAAATCAATTTGTTTTGATCTCTCTATAGTCAGGGTCCGGCAACTGCTGTACGCGGGTAGATTTACGCGCATGCGTCTTTCGAAATGGTCTCGAAAGGATTAACAGGTTATTTCAAATTTAATGGACCGGTTAGATAATTTTTCAATCGAATGAGGTTGCAAATTCAAAAAATGCGCAACTCATCATGAAAAATGAAGCAGTTCACGTATATAAGCGTTCACACGTGGCGAGACCTTTTCAAGGCGCATGCGCGTAAATCTACCCTCGCCGGACGTCGACTATAATATTCTTAAAATAAGGAAACTACATACTACTATTACCATCGCAAAAATCTTTTTCAAATACGATTTTAAACGGTGGGAATTTGGATACCGTACTCTGGATAACCTGCAAATCAAACTCACCGTAAATCGGCGCAGGGTGCTAGTTTTTTGGCGAATGCAATAATTTCCCACTAATTTCCGCATGCGCCCGCATAAATTCAAATTTGTGCAAAAATGCGGATGTGTGTAAACAGACGATCACAAAATTTTTCCCTCGGCAATTAGTGATTCGCCGGAGTTGATCTCGCCGGAATAGAACTCGATTGTCAATAGAGCGCAATTGCGACATTTAAAGGCACTCATGTATTTTGACCGAAACAAATATATTATTTGAACTTGAACTGATCTCCTTTTTCTTTAACCTCGCATTTTTATTTTTTTCCTCAATTAACAATCGTCTTCAATTTTTGTGGGATTTATTACGGCGAGTTCTACTCTGGGAAAAATGACGAAAGAAATAATTATTCTAAACCGGCAAACAGTTCCTTTTTGTGGGGGATTTTTTTCTTATTTCTTAAAACGTCTAATCGCGCGCGGCTTTGCTCACTTACATCCGAAAATTTAAAAATTCTCTCATCGTACTGAAACAGGATTTCCTCCGTCTGAAAATCGTGAACAACTGGTCTGACGGCCATCACAAGATACATATTATTTGTGATTAATCCTTCAATCGGTTGACACAACGAAAGGCCTTTGAATTCTGAAAAAAAATGTCTTGAAACGAGCGAAACCTAGCTTCGGTTTATTCGAGATGAAAAGTTCAAAATTTGAAATCTTCGTACAAATTCAAAAGGTTTACCTTGGTCCTACAAGCAATATTTACGCGCTGTCTCGAAACTATAACACCCCCATGGTAAAACCACGACAAAATTTCATCTCAATTAAACCGTTTTGACCAATTTATACCTTCTGTCATAATACAATCCGCTCTGCCGACAACCTTAAAAAGTGGTATAGTTGACGTCCGGCGACTGCTGTACGCGGGTAGATTTACGCGCATGCGCCTTGAAAAGGTCTCGCCACGCGTGAATGCTTATTTTGCCGTTTTCACGTGAACTGCTTCATTTTTCTTGATGAGTTTCGAATTTTCTCGAATTTCCAACATCATTCGATTAAGAAATTATCGAACCGGTCCATAAAATTTAAAATAACCTGTTAGCCCTTGCGAGACCATTTCGAAAGACGCATTCCCGTAAATCTACCCGCGTACAGCAGTTGCCGGACCGCGACTATATTTTACAATAAAAAACACATTAAAAAATAAGCTTTTTTTTTGCAAAACGTGTATACAAAATAATAAAGTGATTTTTTTTTAATATTTCAAGAACCGCCCGTTTTGTAGCGATTCGAATTATTTACTTCATGGTTACTAGCGTATATGATTATAAAATGCGCGGGGGCAAGAAATTTCGAATAGCCTCTTTGATATTCTTGACATAGGGTTGCATTATTCATCCCCAATTGAACCTAAAAAACAAAAATACCAAAAAAAATTGAAAACATTCAACGAAATGAAACCTTAAATGGCTTACGCCTCATTTTGACTTCGACAACAAGAAGTAATAACAGAAATATCTTCATTTTTCTAACGTTTCACTTGTTGCAACTGATTTTTGCGTTTTAAATTCGTCATTTATATTAGAAAATCAGAGTGTCACGTTCTCTGGTAACTTAAAATCAATCGGATCCGATAAAATTCGGCTCCTGAATAATCAGATTGGTAATTATGGGGATCAGATTGTAATAGGTAATTTATCGAATTCGCTTGTCCGAATCGGATTTGATTTGAAAGAATTAAAACAAATCAGTTTCAATAATTAATCGGATTCGACAAAAAATACCATGGGTTTACCGTTAGGGTGTTAGGCGCGGGTTAGTTCGAGAAAAATAAATATTTCTAAAAAATGTACTGCTTTTAAGACTAAGGTAAACCTTTTGAATTTGTACGAAGAATTCAAATTTTAAACTTTTCATCTTTTCAAACATTAATTCTCAATTTTGAGTACTTTGATTTTTTGCGAGGGAATGTGTTTGCCTTGGAAGCGATAAAACTGTAAGACATGATAGTCGGGCTCACTCACACCCCAATAACTTTAGTTTTTATTTTTTTATTATTCGATGTTTCCTTATCACCTGATCTATGTTATTATTACCATTACTCGCTATCATATAGCCTATTCTCACCTATCTTTTTTTCATTATTAGACCACCTTCTGTTCGTGCATCTTGTTTTGTTCCTTTATTCTTTCATTATTCTCGAAGCCGAATTTCGTCGGATGCGATTGGTTTTGAGTTACCAGTGTATTTAAACCAATTAAAGTAAGCATTGCAAGCTGGACAGTTCATGTTTTAAATATTGAAAATATGCTCGAAACACAGCCAATTCCCTCGAGTGGCTTAACTGGAGAATCGCGCCGTCGTGTTGCAACTTTTCTGCAAATGTCGCACACTTTTCTTTCCGGCGCGATAAGTGAAATTTTCGAGGTTTTCAAAATTTTTTTGATTTTATTTTTATAGCCATCGTTCATATTGTTGTTTTTTCTCATTATTATTTTTTATTTATTTCAGATAAATGCCCTCTACCGATGAACCTTTGATTCAACCTGTCAGCGAAAACAATGAAGTATTAAATTTTAACCACAAAAACTACTAATTAAATGTTTAGAATGCGGATCTGCCGATGACTCCTACCACAAAAGGAGTTAAAAGAAATGCAAATTCTCCACCAGATAAGGAAGTGAAGAAACCGAAAGTAAGTGTTTTATAATTAAGCTAATCAATGTTATTCTTTATGTGGTGAATCGCGAGAATTCCGTCGAAGTGCTTGCGGAACCAGTAGGAACTCCAAAAACTCCAAAAGTTCGAGAATTTTTCAAACGTTGTTAAATATTTTATATTTAGACGCCGAAACTTTCAAAAGAAGAAAGAGAAAAACAGCGACTTCAAAAATTAGAGGAAAAAGAAAAACAGAAGGTTTAAAAAATATCCAAAGAGAAATTAATGTTTTTTTTGGTTTAGGCTGAGCGCGAAAAAGCTTTAGAAGAAAAACGGTTGGAAAAAGAGCGACTTTTGGAAGAAAAACGACTCGAAAAAGAGAAAAAAGAGAGGTTTTTTTTACATTAGTGCTTTTAACATTTGCTTCATTTTTCAAGAGAGCGTCTTGAAAAGAAAGCCGAAGAAGATCGAAAGAAAGAGGAAAAACGTCGTGAAATCGAAGAAAAGCGAAGAAAAGAAGAAGAGGAAAAAGAGGAGAAGCTGAGGAAGAAACGAGAGGAAGAAGAGAAGCGAGAAGCAAAAAGAAAAGAGGAAGAAGAAAAGAAAGAAGCCAAGAAAAGAGAGGAAGAGGTATGGGAAAGTTAAAGTTTGTTGAAAAATAAAACTGTTATTTATTAGGCTATGGAAGAACGGAAAAAACGAGAATCTGCTCGTTTTCTCGGATTTTTCAGCAAAGTTGAAAAGAAAAAAGTAACAATTGCAGAGCCTGAGGGCACAAAATGGTATCGACCGTTCGAAGTAAGTTCAACTACTAAAGAATTTCCAAAAAATATTTCGGTATAGATTAAAGATGGGATGACATTAGCTCCGATCCTTTATCGAGATCCTGTCCCATCTCATACGGACCTTCTTCGACAGATGGATGATATTGAGGCAAACACATATTTGAAATCGGAATCGGTGAAAAATCGTGCGATTGTATCGAGTAAACGAGTGTATGCTTTTCGCAAAGAAAATTCCGCTTGATGCAGCTAAAGCCTTCTACAGCCCTTCTTTTGAACTCTTAATTTGTAGGCCTCTTCGCGCCAAACTTTTCCAATTCCATGACAATCATCGTCCACCATACTATGGAACTTGGCGAAAAAAGCGTTCGAACATTTCTGGACGTAGACCATTTGCGCATGAGACAGGAATCGATTACGAGGCTTGTTATTCGGCAATGAATTGATTTATCAATGAATATATTGCTTCTAGGTTGATTCTGATGACGAATGGGAAGACGAACCGTCAGATGGAGAAGAATGTCGCTCAGATGATGAGGTAACGAAGGTTTCCTTTTATATTTTGAATCGTTTTTTTTTCTAAGGACGAAGGTGATGATGAGGTGATGTCCGATGACGGCTTCTTCGTTCCTCCTTGCTATTTATCTGATGGAGAAGGTAAGGGGTTTGTTGTCATTTCGAAAAAAATACGTCAAAATGTTATTCCATTTCGTATAGTAATCGTATATGCCCATTAAACATCAAACGCGTCACTTTATGCGTTTAATGTTCTGTAGTATTATTTTTTGATGGGGGAATGACTGACTATTAATTCCATTTTCTGATTCTGTTTTTGAAGCTATCGTCATTTTAATGGATTTCTTCAAATGGAAAATAGAGTGCAAGATATCTGATGGCGAGAAAAAATAAAATGCGATTTTTTCAATTAAATTTAATATTGGAAATAAGTTGTGCATTTACGGAAAAAATGGTATTATGAGGTAATACCATTAAATTCGCAAAAAACGAGAGCTCCGCGCCGATTTGCGGTGGGTGAGCTTCGTAGGTTGTCCGGAGAACGGTACCCAAATTCTCACAGCTTAAATTTGAATTTGAATAACCGCTCGATGGTCCACAATTAGTCAAAGTGTTCCATTTAACAACACAAAATTGTTTTTATTATATTAATTTTGTCGATTTTTTTCATTTGTAAATCCCTTCGCAGTTTCTGTTGACTGATATTTCGTTTTTTTTTCTTTTCGAAATTTTCTGTCAAAATGTATGTAATTATATCACTATAAGACCCAGAATAATTAATTTTTAAAGATTTTTTCAAATGTAAGGGGGTGGTTAAGTTTAAAGAGGAGGGGAGCTCGATAAAATTATGCCAATATGTTTTTTTAATCGACCAAGCCAATCGAGTTATTTAATTTTTTTCTAGTTAAGCATTTGTTTAGAGAAAAAATCCAAATAGCCCAGCATACATGTTTCTATAATTAGCATTGTTAGTGTTTAGAAGTTTTATGAATGAATTTTCATCGGAAGTGACTGTAATTAACTTTGTTTCAATAGCTATTCAAAATGTGTTGAGCTTCTCTAAAAATTGAAATAAATCCAGCTTTGCCAAGGTTGAAATCCGTCGCCAAGAAAAATTATTTTCTCCTTTTTTTTTAGAAAATTTAAGATTATTCTTATACCCAATATATTTAATTTACAAATTTTCTGATTAGAAACAATATTTAGATTTTTTCCAGTTTTTTGCGCTTCCACTGAATTTGTGTGAATATTTACAGGCGAAGACGACGGATCGGATGTGGAGTGTGGAGGCGGAAAAGACGGCGCCGATGGTCAGCAGCAGCAAAAGCAGAAACAGAATCCGAAAAGGCGCAACAACTACATTGACGACGATGACAACGACGAAGATGTAGAAGGCGCTGCAGAAGATGCGGGACGAGAAGACGACGATGGTGTCGCGACGACAACGACGGCAGCTGATGATGATGATGATGATGATGATGATGAAAATGCGGCGGCGGCATTGACGACAAAGAAGAAGCGACGCGACGAGAACGCAGAGGAGCGCAAGGCTCGACTCGCGTCGCGTGCAAAGGAGTGGTCGCGACGCGTGTCGCGCGGCGGTCCGCCGAGTTCTCTGGTGTCGCGATGTATCGGACCATGTTACGGGGCTGGCGACAGCGATGAAGCCAAAATGCCCACCGACATTCTATTCTCGATGAGAGCTATTGTATTTTAATAATGTAACATTGACATTCGCTGGTCGAACTCATTGCCGAATGAGATATGCTTCGAATATTTTGACAATCTTTGACTACTTTAATTATTTTTCTTTATTTTTTGTATTTTTCGCATTTTGGGCTTTTCTACCTACTCACTTTTAACCCATATTTATTTTTACTTTTTTTTGCCGAGCGAATTTTTAGTTGGGGAATTGATCTGTTTTATGATTTTTGTTCACTTCAATTGATTATAAAAATATGCGTTTTGTAGTTCCGCCTTTTTTTGCGCCCCGCTCACACACAAACGCGCGCCATCCCTTTTCTCCCGAATTTTTTCTACTGCTACTGCTCGTCGCCGCAAAAAAAAACATGCACATGGCGATTATCGATTTGTTGCGCTAACCTGCGTCGTGGTGTCGTCGTTGTTTCGGGATGTGTCTCTCGCCGCCTCGTCTCGATCTCGAGCTACATTCGATGTGTGTATGTGTGCTCTGTGCGTCTGCCTTCTGGCGAAACCCCCTCTTGTTGGGCCTCGCTCTACTCCGAAAATCTATCATCTTTGCTTCAATTGCTCCGGAGGAGCCCTCCTCCCCCTCCTCCTCTTCCCATTCTTCGCCTCCTCCTCCTCCTCCTCCCCGTTTTTTTTCCGAGTCCGACGGCTGGTCGCTCTTCCTCACTCCCTCTCTTCCCCCTCCCATTCCGTACTCTTCTTTTCTCTTCGACGCATCTTTGCCCATTTTTCGATTTTTTTGTTGTTCTGCTCTGATCCCGAACTGGTTTTTTTTTGAGTAAACCGTTTTCTGAGAATATCAGCATATTCGTACATATCGAGATGAAACAAGAAGACGATTCTGATTGCACTCGATCTGATGATTCTCGACACTCCTGAAATACTTAAACATTTCCAATCCGAATTTATTCATTTTTGGGTTTGAAAAAATGAGGATTATAGTTTGCATAAATGTGCTCGTAATAGAGCGCGAATTTTGACGAATTGAGAGTTTTGCTTGAAATTTTGAACTCCAGATGTGCCTCATCTTTTTTTTCTGGAAAAATAGCCGATTCCACCATGAGATTTGCAAGGTTCAATTTGTGAAAATGTGTGAATTTCCCACAGACCCCCAATGTTATTAATCTTTTTCCGGAAAAAATTTTCGGATTTATCGATTTTTCGGCGGTAGCGAGGGGAGAAGGAAAGGGATTAACATGAAGAAAATTTGATAATTATTTTCAAATGTAGGCGAATTTTCTTAAATACGAAAAGTTGTGGGAATTTCGTGCTCAAAAAATGTGTGTGTTTTTTTTTTAATTTTCGCTATTAGATGTGTTAAAAAATCCAGAACGATCTGCACTTGCCAAATTTGGCGAAAATTCACTCTTGTATTTGAAATCTGAAGTTTTTTTTTCTAATTTCTCGAATTCCTGAACACCAAATATAGACATTGGCGGCAATAACTATGAATACAAACAATTTAAATTTCTGAATATTTTCATCCAAAATTAATTAATTAAATAATTAATCAATTTTCCAGCTAATTTCTCTTCACATTTTTCTTTGCTTTGTCATAAACACTTCTGTTGATTTTTCATTTATAATATTTGTGTGCCAATTAAAAAAAATGAAAACGTGACAAATTCGATTAGACTTCCGAAAATTGTTTTATTCAAGCGTTCACCAATTATTATTGTTTCTGTTATTATTTTTCTTTTTGTGCGCAACAATTATTTCTTGTTAGAGCTCATATAAAAGCATTTGGTTAAGGTCGAATAACGGACTGGTGCTGCGAGCACATTGCGCCCAGAGAGCTGCGATAGCGCTCATCACTATCGACAACACTGGTGTCAATATTCACGACGGTAGCGACAACGAGGAAAACGGCGAGGTTTGCGACGACCGAACACGACGAAGGCTCGTTGTGGTGGTGGACGACCACACGCCGACGCGATTCGAAGCTGTCACCGCACGAACGAATCGACGCTGCGCACGTCTCAAACTGGATTTTTTGAAATTGTATGTGCCCATATGACTGGAATTTCGGTTGAAACAAATGTGAAAAAAAAAAAAACAATCTGAAAATTTGTTGGATTATCCAAACATTTTCTGAAATTAAACTCTGATTCCTTAGAAATACAATGCGGACAACAATCATGGCTACATTCAATTTAAAATTCAAATATTCGTACTTTTGGTCTCTTGGGACTCTCCGGATACTTGTAATGATCTGAATGATTCACCGATATGAGTAGATGTTAATTTTAATGATAAACTGCTCAAAAAACTTGCGGTCTGTGTGATTTTGGAAATTTATTTATTAACCGTACTCTAAAATATATTATGAGGAAATTTTTGAGTAGCAATGCAGCAGAACATTTTTTTATTGTGAAATATTTAAAAACATGTTTTTGAATATTCTATAAATTTTTAAATATTTCAATGAAACCGCTTTTCGATTTGGATGAAATGAATATTTCGAAAGAAACAGAGTACTTTATGATTTTACATGAAACGTTTTTTTTCAAACACCAAAGAAAACGTAGTTCGATAAGTTTGTTTCTGTTTTCAGGCATTATCTTCGTCGATAGTACAAGTAGACGTCGTCGAAAGAGGAGGCGAATCGCCGGTAGGCGTCGGCGTTCCGCTGGCGGCTGCATCAGCGGCGGCGGCAGCGGCAGCGGCGGCACCGACCAACACACACCACTACCAGCTACTCCACCTCCATCGACGCGGCGCATCCGAGCGGCGGCGGCGACGACGAAACGCCAACGAGAAGCACAAGAAGACGTTGTTGTCGCTGCCAGCTGCTGTTGAAGACGAAACGCAAAGAGGCGGACGTCGCGGCAACCACAACAACCAACACCAAACCCATCAACGCCGGCAGCAACCGAAGCAACAAGTCAGACTACCGGACGGCTGAGCGCCTTCGCGCCCGACCACTTCGCGCGGTTAGGCTCGCTGTGGCGCTAACCGCGGAATGCGACAGCATTCCATGGCAAATTCCAAGAAGATACAAGAGGTAAGTGTTCGTCTTCATTTCAATTTCGACAACATCTATTCGCTTCATTTTGAAACTCAAAAACAATTTTTCATCGATCATAGTTCAAATTAAGAATAGGTTGGCTCTTCTCTAATTTCTAGAAAAAAAAAACAAATCCATCGTTCTTGTCGCAATCAAAAAAACTTCAATGCGAATGTGGAAAAAAACTCAACGCCTCGCGACCAATCAAGCCTTTTCTTCTTCAATATCGCGTTCTTGGTACTCGCCGCTACTGCTGCTCTTTTCCTCTTCTTCATTTTTTTTTCTTCGTCACAATTTTCTTCTGTTTTGTTTGACCACTTTGGCGCGAGGCGGCGCGCGCAAAACACCTACGCGCCGCGAAGGCAAAAAAAAGTGAAAACATTTAAAAAATATATATATATATAAATAAGAGAGACACCGAGATTTCGATACAATCTGCATATATCGTAATGGCGTTTTTGCAGCTGGTGCACGAGTGCAACGTGCAGTTGGCACTGTTCCGCTGCGCCACTCAGGGAATCGGAACCGCCCAAGACGGCGCTTCACTCCGAAGGTTGGTTCAGAAAGATTAATCAGCGGCTTTTTCGTTGTTGAGTGGGCGCACGTAATCGACGTGAGGCTATAATTGATATCTTACAAATGCCACGATAATTATAATCCAACGCGCCATACTTGATCGAATTAGATTCTCAAAAATCGGTGCGATTTGCAGAGAAGTTGAAACCGCGGGTCGAGCATGTCAAAAAGCGGTCGAAGCGGCGAACAACGTCGTTTTGCCCCAGCTGAGAGCAGATGGTGAGCATTTGAAGATGATTAGGCGGCAAATTGAAAACTGGCATTGTATTTTAGACGTCGAGATGTCGCGATATGGTCCGTCGTTTATTGGCTGCGTTGGCGCATATCTCAACGAGATGAAGCGCTGCGTGAAACTCGAGACCACATTTCCGGCGCCGATCGAGCCGTCCATCACGAAACAACAAGTGGAACGAGTGGAATCAATTTTAGATACATTAGAGAATCTGATTACGGTTCATTATTCGACGAACGAGGCTCCCGCTTTAGACAAGGTTCGCTTCTTCTTTTTTTCGAAAATTGTCTTCCATTAAAAGTTGGTCGAAGTTGAAATTCAGAATATTTCATTGTTAAAGGCAAAGAAATGAAAAAGGAAACAATTATTTTCTTTTTTTTCTGCACTGGAATTTATATTTTTAATTTTCTCTACTTTGCCTCATTAGAAAATTTTCGTTGGATTCTTATGAGTGCAAACATTTCAGTTACAAGTAACACCTCGACGGCGGAGGGCAACGTCATGTCGACCCCAATGTGTATGCTCGAAGCTGAAAACGAGTTACGCGTGACACGATTCAATTTTCATCGTCTTCGATTCGAAAACACGCGTTCTTTCTTTATAGGTGAGTTTTTTTTTTTGTCGAAAAATGATACGAAAGCCTTCTGAAGGTTATTTGAATAAGGAAATTTTCAACAAAAAAAATGCATATATGAATTCCGTCATACACTTAAAAAAAAAGATAGTTGCAACTTTTCAAAGTGTCTAAATTAGTCTTTGTTTTGAAAAATCAACTTATTCGGAAAAAAAATCTGTATAGTCTGTTTCCGAAAAAAATAGTATTAAGAATCACTCACCGCAAGATCCAACTAATTTTTCACTGCATGAGCCTTTAATCCATTTTTTGAATTTTAATTTAATTTACCCACAGTTTTCATGGAAATTTCCTGATATTTGAAAATCAAAAAAATGAAATGCTATTTCCGTCGGCGTCCAGCGACTGCAAACGCGGGTAGATTTACGCGCGTCCGCATTCGCTATGGTCTCGCACTGAATAACTAATTATTTTATATGTTAGAGGTCATTTCGCTAATTTTTAATTTCAGTAATATTAAGTATCTAATGTACTAAACAAGTACATTATTAAAAATTTAACGTGAAATTTTCAAAAAGAGCCTTAACGTGTAACGAGACCTTTTTGAAAGGCGAACTCGTAAATCTACCCGCATACAGCAAAAAAAAAAACAAAAAAAAATTGAAACTGATTTCAGGTGCAGGCATTATTTGTTATTCGAATGTTTCTTCTCTTCGCGCCCCGAGATATTTCCATCAAAAAATCCGTTTGTTTCACATCCATCCATCGGTTCCAATTTAGTCAACGTAGTCGCTCATTCTCAACAGAACCAATCAATCCCAAACACCCATACGACCAAAACGAAACAAACCGATCCAATGTTGTTGTATATTAAGATTTTGTGTTGTCGAGGTCAGCGATCGACTAGTTCAACTCTCACATCATCAGCTCAATCGTTTCGCGTTTTCTTTTTGTTCCCCCCCCCCATTTTTCTTTCCTATCTATTCACATTTTCTCTTCTCTTTTTTTTCCCAACTAAATTCTGTTATAAATACATTGCAAACGCACAAATCATTTCTGAAAAGCCAACATTTCGCACTCAATCAATCGCACACTCACCGTTCAATGTATCTGCTGTGTCCATCCACAATCACTAACTATATCACATATTCAAAAACAACCCCCCCCCCTACACATAATTCATTTAGGCATAATTTGTTTGTTTTCATTTTGGATCCAACACAAAAAATGAGCATACGTTGTCATTTTCTCCTTGTTTTATTTTTGTCAAATTATTTTTATATTGTGTGAAGATAAATTGTACATCGTATCAATGTTCCCAATCTCCTTTCCCCCCGACTTCCCCCGAAGAAGATCCTCTACCCTTCCCCTCCCCAACTTGTTTTATTGATCAAAATATGTTTTCATGTCTTTTTCGTCGTGACGTTATAGATTTATCTTCGATAAAATGTTCAAAATACTATACAAACTATTTGACATGCATTTAAGGACTACTAATCGTCGTCGTCTTGTTCTTCGTGACCTGAATCTACATAATCCTCGTCTTTTTCATCGACTATTTCTTCAATTGTCTTCTTTACTTCTACCTGAAATTATGGACGCGTTTTTCTCAAGGGAGAATACGGAAAAAAATGTAGAATATTTTTAAATCATTGAAAAGATGTGAAATACACTTAATTGGAAATTCATGCACATTTTTTATTCTCCAATCCCGCACATTTTATATTATCCGATTTTGCTTTAAACATTACTAAACATGAATAAGTTCGTTAGAGGTCTGAATTGGCCGTAAAATCAAGTTCAATTGAACCAGCATTTTTACAAAAAAAAGATCAAATGCATTTTTGAGAAAGGGAGTCATTTGCCATAAAACTCTAAATAACAAGAAATTGAGAATAATTACATCATTCCGAATCATAAATGATAAAAGAAACCCTTACATTGTGCGATTTTTGATGGAAAACGAATGAAATCGATCCGCACTCGAAAACAGCACGCAATACATTGTCGGCCACCTTGAATACACAGAATGAAATTTATAATAATCATTAAGATTCAATTACCTTTCTTGCAGATTTTTGCGAGTGATACCAGTGCGCGAGATCACTTGAACAATCTGCTTCTTGCGGGGGATCCATACTCTCAACTCCTTGAATACATCGCTTACATTTCAGCCTAAAAGCATTTAAATCAAACGAAAATGCTCACTAATCGTACTTTTCATGCGTATCCGAAGCGACAGAAGATTCAAGCTTGAAGAGCTCACGGAGCTGCTCAGAACTGAAATGCCTAGCAACGTCTTCTCCCGCGTCAACCTCAAAATCCATTTATTTTGTTTTTTATTTGATTTTTTTTTCGTATACCACACAAGATGAGAGTGCTTTTTTGTGTGTCTGCCTTTGGAACATTTTCTCTTCTATGGATCCAGTCTGAAATGTAAACATTCGGGGATTTGTAAGTAAGAAATCTCAAACCGCTAACAAACGATAAATGAAGCACGTCTTTTTCTGTCCATCTCTCCAAACTCTTGCCATCGCCTGATCATCGTTTGCCGGATTCCAATCAGGATCGAACATCACCAATCGATTAGCCCCGATCAGATTCAAGCCGCATCCACCGGCTTTCGATGAAAGAAGGAAACAGAAAATATTACTTTGCGGGTCATTGAAGGTGTCGATAATTTTTGATCGTTGCTTGATCGACATGGAACCATCGAGGCGCACATAATCGTAGCCTCGAAGTTTGCACAGCTGAAACGAAATTTGAGTTGGATTCATCAGGATGGATTTGCCCATCCAATTTTGCCACTAATTACCTCCATGAATTGGTCGATGGTCTGCGTGTAATTCGATACAAGCACGAACTTGTCGTCGGTTGTTTTTCGCGTGACCGCTAAAATATAGTCCAAGACTTTCATTTTTCCAGAGAATGATGGATCGAAATGTCTCGGATTGAAGTTTTCCGGGAACACGCTAAGACATTCTAAAAACGAGAAATTTGACTGTTGATTATTTCAAGAATGCCAGCCTACTATCTGTAAAGCGATTATCAGGCTTTTGTAATTCCTCATATACAAGACATGGATGATTGCACAGTTTTTTGAGATGCGTGATGAATGATAAAGCTGAAGCAGTAGCGCCCTGTAATTATCAAAAATACACAGAATCTCGACTCTCATCAACTCGATACCTTATCTTTTTCAGCAATCCTATTCTGTTTTTCGCACTCAATTAATTTATTATACAGCGTCTCTTGAAGCGTCGAATTTTTGCAGCAAATGATGTTCTCATATTTAACCTAGAAATTGTTGAGTTTTAACGGACAAAAAATGTGTCGAAAGTACCGGAAGATATTTAGTCAAAAGCGCCGAAGTACGTCGAATGATGCATTTCTCGACGAGTGAGATCATTTCCTTCGTTCGTTCTTCGCCGCGCTTCTGATCTTCGGCAGAAGCATCAGCATCACGGCCTCTGGAAATAATTTTGAATACTAATTTGTCACATAAATCAAATGAGCGTACTTCAGAATACAATTCTCATATTTCTTACGAAATTCGGCAGCGGTTCCGAGAAGGCCTGGATTCACAAAGTTGACCAAACTGAAAGAGAAAATCAAAATTCCGAATTTTTATATTTAGTCAAATTAATTTTTCCAATTATCAGAGAATGCGGTTCGCAATTTTCATGTCTATTGAGTATTGCATTAATATTGCGGGTACAAACCTAAAATATTCTAACAAATCATTCTGAATCGGAGTTCCGGAAATGAGAACCCTTCTCGCGCATTTGAGCCCGCTCAACGCTTGATATGTGAGATTCTCGCTGTTTTTGAGTCGATGTCCCTCGTCACAAATCACTATTCCGACTTCGCCCGAATGAAGAATATTAGCATATAAACGAAACGTCTCATAGGAAATAATGAGAACGGGGATCGCCGCACGAAGTTTTGTGTCTGCCATAAAAGAGGCTAAAAAAAACACGAATGGTTTGATTGCTAATTTCGATTATAGACGCACTTAAACTCGCGATGATCATCTCCTTTTTACCGCTATCCATTGGCATCGCATTAACACGAGTTCCGAGCCATTTTTTGATTTCTTTATCCCAATTCTAAAAGTTTTCAGTGATTCATTTTCAAATATTCAAGAAAAAACAGAAAAATGTTTAAAATGAAATATTATTGACTCACTTTTACTAAACTACTGGGACACACAATAATTGATTTCGACAATGTTGGCTTTGCGTCGGGACTTTGTCTGAGAAGTGTCCAGAGTAAGGTAATACACTGAAGTGTCTTTCCGAGACCCATTTCATCGGCCATAATGCATCCATAATAGTTTTCAATGTTTGCTCCCGTCACACAATCGTACATGAATTTCACACCCTCACGTTGATGCGGTCGTAGAATTTTGCCAAGAACGGGATCCACGACTACGTGCACCTTAAAACAATGATTGATTAATTATGAATGCAAAAAGAAGCGAGTCTCGCACCTTTCGGTCTTTATCATCTTTCAATTGGTCATGCTCACTCAATGGCTCTGGGGCAAAAAGAACAAGAGCTCCTTCATGATACGGATCAAATAGTGCGCACTTCCGACGACTTCCTCCCAATCCAAGGCTTCTTCCCGACACTTCATATATTTGATTATATTCGCTATATAATATTTAGTACAGTCTTACACATGTAACCTTCCATTGGAATAGTAAATTTTCTGGAAAGAAGTTTTGCAATCATAGCATCGTGACTGGTTGCTTCATTCTTCATTCGATTATTAAAAATGTCTATATTCTTTAAAAAAAAAGAATATTTGTGAATATTTTATCGTTTTTTTAGATACCACAAAACGAAGCGGATTAGCCTCTTCAATAGAAACTGGAGGCTCAATTGGAAGTTCATTCTTTTTACGCCGTTTTCCTTTCACTGGTGATTCCTTTCGATTGGAAAATGGTGATTTGTATTCTTTCTTTACCTTAAAAATTTCATTTTAGAAAATACACGTAATGTTACATTCTGCTTACATTTTGTTCCGGATCAGAGCTTATACGTCCTGCATAGCCCAAACTTTTTCGTTTATTCATATATTTCTGGAAAACTAAAAAGAAATCGATATAACAGTATATAAATAAATATTTACGCACGCTAATTATTCGAAAACATAAAAATATTTATCCTACAATACACTTAAAGGTACAATTTGCACTTTACATCATTCCTGAAACGAAACATACTGTAATTATTGTTTTAATGTGTATTATAATAATTAAATATTTTTTGCACTCGGTAAAATCATCGAGTGAAACGGCGGTTGTCTTCGGTTTTGGTGAAACAAGCTGATTGTTTTGCCGCATTAAGGAAAACAATAAATTATTTATTTTTTCGTCACTATTTCGTCGAAAGCGAAAAAAAACCACTGTTTCGCCACATTAGTTTGCCGGTCAATTTGCATGTTCTTAGTATTTAAGTAAATAATAGCCAAAAATGAATTTAGATTTCATAACAAATTTCGAATTTAAAATTACATTGCTTTTGAAGTTCGCGCCTCTTGCATTTTTTTTTGTCTACTACGGTGTGCAATAATATTGTGTCTAACGTATCTCGGTGTTTGCGGAGGTTCCGATTTTCATTTTTATTCCTGGTTTTCGCGCAAGCCAGTTTCTTCAATTTTCCGTGTCCACGATCAATATGAGCGTTTAACATATTTACATAGTCGTATGATTTAAAATTTTGATTATCAGAATTAATATTTAATTTTATTATTCATCGCATGTCTATTTCGCAAATATTGATTGAAATATGAGTGAGCGTATATTGTTTACAATAAATTGGTTAAAATTCTCAGTAGTTGATTCATTTCGTGCGAATTAATATTCGTTCTCTGTACTTTTCGCACTTATTATTTTTGTTTTATAGAATGGCATCCACTGCTACCCAGCGTATTCCTTCGAAGCGTCAAACACTCGACGAAGCGTACGCTCCTCCAGCGAATTTTCTAGAAATCGAAGTTGTCAATCCCATAACTCACGGAGTTGGAAAAATGCGTTATACCGATTATGAAGTTAGAATGAGGGTATGAAATCGTTTATTGATTCCTATGACTCATAGTTTATTTTAGTCCAATTTGCCAGTTTTCAAGCAAAAAGAATCCAGTGTCCGACGCAGATATAGTGATTTTGAATGGTTGCGTGGTGAACTCGAGCGCGATTCGAAAATAGTTGTGCCGCAGTTACCTGGAAAATCCCTAAAACGCCAATTGCCATTCCGTTCTGACGACGGAATTTTCGAGGAGGAATTTATTGAAAATCGTAGAAAGGCGCTAGAGGCTTTTATCAACAAGTAAGAGTTCTGAAAACATTAGTCTAATTGTATTGCCTATTTTTTTTAGGGTGGCCGGACATCCATTGGCTCAAAATGAGCGTTCGCTTCACATTTTCCTTCAGGAAACAACTATCGACAAGAATTATGTGCCAGGAAAAATCCGTACGGCTTAAACAAGCAACTAATTTCCATTGATCACTGAATTACGGTAGAAATTTCAATAATGGTATTTTCCAAAATTCGTTCCAATTTATTGTACGACATTGTATATTTATTGAGCAATTTTATAATTTAAATGTACATTGCGCATGTTTTATTGAAGTCCAATTTATTATTTCATATTTTGTTCATTACATAAACTTGATTCATCGTATATTCGTGTTTGCCTTTGTTTATTATTCGATAGCGATATTCGATATTGTCAATGATCGATGAACATATGACCATTCGATTTGAGATGTTTCTGGAAAGAGTCAACGCGATAACCGGTGAAAGGGAGTGGGTTGTGGCTGAAGAGAACTATGACATGGCACAGGAGCTCGCACGGAGTCGATTCGCTGACATGATCCATGATTATGATAGGAATGAGAATTACAAGCGAGGTCTCGAAACGGTTATCAGCGAAAAGAAGAAGACGCAGGAAAAAGTGCATGTGCTAGATATTGGTGAGAATTCGAATTTAATTTTTTGCAACCAAGCAGAATCTCGTATAATATTACTGTTTTGATTATTTCCGGATGCGTACGGAAGAAAATGACCAATAAAAAATCCATTAACGTTTAAATTTTAGATTAAAGTTCGTTGCTCTTTTTCTCTCTCTCTAAATAGAACAAGCAAATCTGGGGAACACCTCGCGTTTCCACAGATATTAACCAATTCTAGACTCAAACTTTTTATCTATTAGAATTTGTACAACATTTAGGCCCTCTCGGTTTGTTTAAAATCTGTTAAAAATCTACACAAATCTTGTCAGGTTTTACTGTGATATTTATGTAAAAAATGTGAATACAATTAATTCCTATATAAATTTTAAAAATATTTCCATGTAGGTACTGGGACCGGTCTTCTCTCAATGCTGGCTGTTGAAGCAGGTGCTGACAAAGTAACAGCGCTCGAAGCTTTTGCTCCGATGGCTGATTGTGCAAAAAAAATTATTGCTCGAAACGGGTTTGACGACAAGATCACTGTTATATCTGAACGGTCAACCGATGTGACGGATATCGGAGGAGAAGCCGCTGATGTGATTGTCGCCGAGGTTTTCGATACCGAATTAATCGGCGAAGGCGCTTTGCGAACATTCAAAGAAGCGCTGCTCAATTTGGCGAAACCTGGATGTCGCGTTGTCCCGTCGCGAGGGAATGTATACGTGAATCCGGTTTCGAGTCGATTTCTCAAAAGTTTCAATCGGATTCCAGTGCTGAATAATGAAGATGGTATTGAATTGATTGAATGATTGTAGTGAGTTTAATTATGAGTTTTTAGACATTCCACTCGGCAATTGCCCGGGAACGTCGGCAGTATTTGACGTGCAGTTATCGGCACTTGAAACAAAAGATTTTATCGCTCTAACCGAACCTATTATTGCATTCGAGTAAGTCGATTAATCGAATGTAAAAAATCACAAAATTTATAAAAGTTTTCATAATCATGTTCAGAAAAAATTGAATCTTTCAAAAAAAAAAAATTTTTTTTTAAGATTTGATTTCGAAAATGCCGACAAAATAATTTATGAGGAATCATTTCGCCGATTAGCAATCGCAACAGAAAGTGGAACAATCGATGCAATTTTGATGTGGTGGGACCTCGACATGGACGGAACAAATGAGAATTTCATCGATATGGCGCCGAGATGGGCGAACCCAAAATACGCGTTTCGGGACCATTGGATGCAGGCGGTTTATTATTTACCGCGGAAGTATGAGCTGGTCAAAGGGGAGCAATTCGAGCTGAATTGTATGCACGATGAATTTAGTATATGGTTCGATGTTAATCAGTAAGTCGAAGGAATAAAAAAAATTTGAACAACTCCGCAGTCTTCAGGACTCAGCCGATCGAACGAATGTATTGTTCATGCACACTGCACAATATAACATGTAGGCAAACAATTTTCCATATAAACGAAATGCTGAATGATATGAGATTTGTGAATCAGGTCAAAAAGGTAAGGTATTTTAAAGAAAAAATGGGAAATTTGAAATATTCTAGCTTTCTGCGCAAAAATCGGTCGTAACACTTGGAGAAGGCTCATTCTTACCACTTCTAGTCGCCAAATTCGCACGCAAAGTAGTATTAGTCGAATCGAATCCACATTTCCGCGAGATATTTACGAAGTATGTTGAAAATATGTACATACAACCTGAAATTATAATTGTTTGTACATTTCTCAGATACAAATCATACTATAAACTTCATCATTTGTCGATTGTTGAATCAATCGATGATATCGCTGACAAGCCGGACGTTGTTCTTGCGGAACCATTCTACATGTCCGCGATGAATCCGTGGCAGAATTTGAGATTTTTGTTCGACGTGCGGAATATCAAAGAAAAATTCGGAGACGACCTGCCCGTTGAACCACACGTAATTGAATTCGGAATATTTTAAATTTTTTTAAAACAATTTACAGATAGGAAAACTGAAAGGAATGTGCGAGAAGTTTGAGGATCTTCAATTTATTGCCGCCGACGTCAACACAATATGTGGATTCGATCTCTCATATTTCGACGAGATTTCAACAAAAGCTCGGCAAGCTACCGACGCGATTGTCGATGAACAACCGTTATGGGAGTACTTTGGAGTTTCGTGCGACGATCAATTCGACATTCTTATGTTCAATGTGCATTCACCGATCGCTGATGCAGTCTGTGAAATGGATATTGAATTGAAGTAAGAGTTTTTTGCAAGGATATGTGTTAAATTCGATGTCATTTTACAGAAAAGCTAATTGTATTCCAATGTGGATGGAATGGAAGTTTGGTGAGATAACTGTGTCAACTGGAGTTACGAACAAAGTTAATAAAAGTAGGAATTTCAAGTTGAACAAAAAATAGTTTTCATATTTATGCGGACATGTTGAAATTGCTTTTCCGTTTGATAAAAAAGACAGTGTTTGTTTGCATATGAAAACATTCGCTGATTCTGCAAAAAAAAACTTTCAAACGAAAAATCAAAATATTTTTATTTGTGTGAAAAATTATCATCATTCTTACGAAACATGCTGATTTTGCTGATTATATTTGGTTTTTAGATGAGTCGCCAATTTGGAACAAAGGCTACAAACAAGGAGTCTATTTCCTCACCTCTGAACAACTGACAAAAAGTTCTGTTCGTCTTCGAGCACAATTCAACAAAAACACCGGAGAAATTACGTTTAATATCACAAAATCAGTATAGTTTAGTTTGACGTTGTTATTGTTTTCTTTTCTGTGTTTTCATTACACGTTGTTTAAAACAAGTCATTTTTGATTAATTTTGTGCATTTAATTTGTTTCGGAAATAATGGAGAGTACGTTGGTAGCGATTCGAGTCGGCTGAATGCTGAATTGCAGAACCCCAATCAGATCAGCAGAAAAAGGAAACTGCCGAAGCTGCAGAAAAAGCGGCGCGAGCGGGTTTCGTCAATAAATTGTTTGTCAAAGTTGGCCAGAAGGTCGGAATTGTCGAATGGACAAAATTGGAGCCGCAGTTTGAGGTTCGTCGACCCCTGGGATCCTCGCATTATCGGATTTTCAGAGCAATCTTATCAAATTGATAACGTATCATAAGATTTTATATAATATTGTTGATATGTGCGAACTTCAAATTCAAGTAATTTTTTTCATTGTTTTATTCAATCTTAAATTGATATAGACGGATCTGAATGTGCTGAAAATGCAGAAAATCGAGCATCCGAAAGACGAGAGCCCTTGGGAGCTGCTCGGCGGATGGTTCCATTATATGGCCATTCAGCAGTTCGACGGATTCAACGCAGTATCATTTCCAATTTTATTCTTTCATTTTTCAATGTTTAATTAAGAAAATACTTGACAAATATAGCTATGCGTGCGGCAAAATTGCAACAAAAGAGCGAATTGCGCAGCGACGAAGTGGCCGAAATTAATGAAATTTGATGAATATCATTCCACATTTCAGGCCGCGGACAATTGATTCGTAAAATGAGAGCCTACACGAGCACCGAATCCGAGAAACTCAACGAGAACTTTGAGCTTGTCAAGAGTTTATTGCACGGAATTGATGAGACGAGACATCATGTGCGCGAATTGCACTGTTGATTGATTGATTGATTGAAATGTTTCAGCTGAAATCGGCGTCGACTAATAAGGAAGTCAGAGAACGAGGGGAAGCGTATCGTAAAATGATATTAGCCTTCAATGATAAGGTGGCTATTCGAGAATCTTCTAAGAAAACCGCATTTTCAGGCAAATGAGCTGCAGGGATGCATCGACGAAGTGAGCAGTGTTGTGAAGCTCCATCAAATGGAATTTGTCAAAGTATTGCGGGACATTTGATTTCACATCGTCTGGAATTCTTTTTCAGTTTGCCAGAGAAATGATGACGCTGAATAATGTGATCGAGTCGAATTTAAATGAAACTCGTCTTCGTATTTTGACTGGCAATAGAAAATAAATTTGTTTTAGTTTCAAATCGCTTGACGATGTGCGTTTTCGAAGACGTGATCGATTCGCCCTTCTGTTTCAATTTCGAATTGCCTTTTTGCAAGATATCACATAGCTAATATGGTCAACAACCATGCAACACGTGACAATCTCCAAATCGGTCGGCACATTTCGTTGAAAACACGCCGATAAGACGACGATGAATCTGGTGTTCTGGTAAGGCAATAAACCGGAGGAATGATATAATGATACCGTTCGACGAACAAATGCCCAGTTGTGATCAGTTGATATCTGCAAGGACGACAGCAATAATGAGCGACTTTGATAATGTAAGTTTTTTTTTTAATTTTTTGGTTTGAAATATTATTGAGAAACTTTAACGAATTTTAGAGTAAGTTGTAAAGATCAAAATCTGAACTGTTCGAATTATATGCCGTCTATTAGATTGCGCATTTTTATACTTTAAAAAATGGAAATTGTGATTAACCATATTTGGTTCCTCTATTCTCAATTCTCATATGACGTTATTGAAATTGGGCAAATTGAATTACTGGATTCGACGTCTAATAAATGAGTTGTGCTCCACTCGTGAATACGCACTATTGAAATTGGCGCTGAATATTTGAGGGGGCTCCACAATATAGATTCCCACTCGTAGTTTTATTTTTACCAGCCGGGTTTTCGAGTTTTGATGATGATCATGACGATTCCGCGATTCAATTTTGTTTGGTTTTGATTGATGCTTATTTCCGAAACGCATATCTCGCATTTGATTTTATTGACAGCTTCTGCTTCTTCAGCTCCTTATCGGCTCTCGTTCATCTCACATAACTTGCTCAGACTTTTTCGGCAAACAAAAATAAATAATCTTTTTCAAAAAGCCAACAACTTGAGGATTTCGCGTACACTAAAAATATATGTTTTTATGAAAACAATTTTTTGGTTGAATTCCAGAATAGAAATAAAAGTACAACAGTAGATATTTTCTCTCATTTAAATGCATTTTCCTCGCTGGATTTAATTTCGCCACGAGACCAAAGGTCTTCTCTAATTTAGTAAAACGACAGTATATTTTTTGTGGTATCATTATCGCAAAGAAACGAGCACAGTGTTGACATCACCAGCGATGATAATGATTGCCTCCAAATCACTGCAACTGCGCTAACAGACGAAAAATAGTTAAAAAATAGTTGAAAAATAGTGCAGACTTTGGATGAAAGAGGGATCTGTAACAGATCTATTTTCAAGTCTATTTTTCATCAGCGCTTCATCTATTTCTCAGCCATTCTCTATCTATTTAGCATCTTGGATTCATCTATTTTTCATCCATTTTATGTCTTGTCTCTGTCCCTCGTTCTTGCATTTTTCATCAGTTTTCTATCTATTTCTCATCCATGATTCATCCTTTTTTTAACCCATTTTTGTCTACTTCTTGTCTCTTATTCATCTATTTTGCGTCTATTTTTCTTCTGGATGGTTTTTATGAAAAAACAACAGTAAACGGAAAACAACAAAATAAAAAAAAAGAAAAATACAATAAATTGTTTAACATTAGAAATATCAAATTTCAATTAAATAGAAAAATGCTGATTGAAATATTCAGCGGCATCGGGCTTCAGTTTTTTGAGTTGGTGCTCTTTTCCAATTTTGATAGCCAAACTATGCGCCATAACTTTGCTAGCGTGGTGAGATCCTTTCTGATCGTTATAATTTGAACGAAGGCGATCGCTAAAAGTACATGGTGTTATTTAGTGAAACATTCGCATAACTACATGAAAGTAATCGCAGACTCTTTGATTTGCACAGCAACTGAAGTAGCTTGATCCGTCGTTGGAGCAATATCTAATCCAATGAACAATGCTTCTTAATTTTTTTTTTAACATTGTTCACATATGTATGTATTATCAGAATTACCAGATATCATTTGATTAACAGCAGAATCCATGTGGAGATATTCCAGACGAGCACCAGGCGTTCCTAACAAGGTATAAGCTATCAGGTAGTTATCCTTATCGTAAATCTGCAAAATATATATGAGCTCTATCTAAGACAACTTTAAACCTCGGCAAATACATGACGCACCAGTTTCGATGCCGATGTCAGAAGGTTTTGACCAATACTTCCGACAAATTTTGAGCAGATTTCTGCGATATCGACAACTACACCCGACGGCAGTGTGTATTTACAGTGTTGGTGATTCAATAAGCAGCCTTGGAATAGGTAGATGGTCTCATCGATATCAACTTTATTCTGAAAAAGTTCACTGCACATATCATTATGCATTCAATACCTTTTTCCAGATGCGCGTTCGATATTCGTCTAGTCTATTAAACTGAAAAAAAACTGTATAGTCCATTGTCCGAGCAGATTAAAATTTTCATACCATAATGGCCATCCCGCACATACTCATCCACATTTCTTTCACGCCCTCATCTTTCTCTGCTTCGGCTTTTCTTGCAAAAACGTCCACGTCAATTCCATTTGTTGCGTTTTTTACAAAGTTATTTACTGAACTCTGGAATGAATTTATCTTTAACAGCAAATCTATGTTCATTAATTGTTACCTTGACTTCATCGTAAGATTTCGCTATGTCGCCACCAGAGAAAATTACACGGCGTGCAAGCTGTGGTGCGTTGAGGTATCCATCTTTAACCAGCGGCTCATTCGACTTCTAAATTGAATGAAACATTAAAGATATTGGTTGTATGGCAAGGTGTTCCGAGTGCGACGAAATAGTAGACGCAGACACCTATACACTCTCACTAATGCATAGGCGAGTTTTCCTTTGCATCTCTGCGCCTCCATCTCACTATGAGAGGGAGGCCCAGCCCCTTTTTTTTGGGAGTTGGTACGCTTGCCGCTTTACAGGCCGGATGCCTCCGGGCACCGGCCCATCTACATTTATTCACAATAAACCATATTTAATCACACTGTGGATATCTGGTCAGCTAGTCAGGGCATTGACAGGTTAACGGTACTCTCCCGTATGGCGCCGGGAGAGGATGCGTTACACGAGGCAAATAAAAGTGAAATTAAGAATTTACCTTGTTTGTGCGGACATGGGTAACTATATCCAAAGGATCGCGCTCCGTGGTTGGCTTATTCCGATGCAATGCATTTGATGATGTTTCGTAATACTGTAAGAAAGACGCCAGAACAATATTAGTAAAAGAATAAAACAAAATTACATCATAGTATTTATGAGGAAGATGTGACCTCCGGTGGCTTCTTCTCTGAAAATAATGCAATATATGTAATTTTGAAGCTTGTTTTTATTTTTCCTATGTCTGTGATTACTGTTGTTGTCCGTGTTCATAATTTTGTGTATGGCATAATTATTTAATTATGCATATTTTAACCCCTTCCAGAAATATTTCAACATGTGACCCACGAGTAAAATCAAAGTAAAACATACTAAGAATACGTCCTCAGCCTTATTTGTCGATTCCATATCCTCAATTAGCGTACTTCCTTCTTCTTCTTCTTCTTCTTCATATAATTGTTCTATAAGTACAAAAATAGCTTTAAAAATACACGAGTGTCGTTAATTTTTTTTCTGAGTGAAACTAATTGCTTATCGTCGAGAATATTTGAAAAAAACAAGTGTAAATAAAATGTTGTACCGTTGAAATGTTCTCGTGGCTGCAGGTATTCAAATTTTTTCTTCTTCGACAATGGTGAAGCTCTTGGTTCATGTTCTGCCATGCTGTTCCTAAATTTACATTATCCGATTTAAATTACTGTTTAAAATGTATTGTTCAAATAGGTTACAAACCAATTTAACGTGAGAAAATTGATGAATTCAACGACATGATAAACGATTTATATATTTTTTGACATATATTTAAAGAGACAAGGAGTGAAAAAAATAGTAAGCCTTTATGCATGATATCCGCATCCTGTAGAAACGCACATTGCGATGTACCCATTCGATATTTCGATCAAACAACCTATACCAACAATTTCATCCAGACCGATAAAAACCTCCTCCGTTGAGAACTTCCCGTTGCATAAGAATGAGTACTTCCTGCAGAAAAATAAAATCGATAGAATACAGTTTTAGAGAGTAGTTTTCTCACCGCACAATCTCATACAATTTTCGATATTTCAAGTTCCTTAACCACGTGAAACTGTTGTATTCTTCTTCAAACTTCTGGACGCAACACATCCATCTTTCGGCTTCTTTGAAAACATAGATAAATCTAAAAATAACGTCATAAAAATATATGAACGATCTTTGCTCACCTGCAGACTCTCATTGAAGAATTTTTGGTGAACAATATATCTTTCTTTGTGTGGATTCCACAATGTTTTGACCGAATGATTCCAAAATTCAAGTGGTACGCTCCAAACGTGTTTTCTCCGTTTGGTCCCATAATATCTAAAGGTTTCGAAGCTCCAGAGAATGGAGTTTGCAATGATGGCGCATATTTACAAAAGTTGTTCAATAACGCCGATGGGCTTTGTGACAATCTTCGTTTAATCTCTCGTTCGAGGTTCACTCGCATAACATATCTGTAATATTCATTCGTGTTTTTTTAAATATATTTTAATACCTATGAAGTACAATTCCAGGAAAATTGTTTGTAATATGGGTACAAAAATCCCGAATTAGAAATTTGTACATTGCTTCAAATGACGCAGTAGATAAGCACGCAACGTTTCCAAACATCTTGACGTTGTCAACGTAGTGGTAAATGAATTCCTATATATGAAACCATGATTGCGTTGTTCAAATATTTTGGACATACATGCAGTTTGATTGTGAAGTACGTTGGAGAGTTATCCAAAAAACATTTTTTTGCAACGTCACACAAGTCAAAAGTATCCCTATGGTTCAACATTCCATTCGTGCACATATTATTGAAAATAAGACCTAAAGCAATAATTGCACATTGTCCATCTGAGGGTAAACTTGAATTGCAGATAGCAAACAAGAAAATTTGAAGTCTGAATAACTATAAGAAAAATCTAAAACATTATATCTGAAACATACATCTAGTTTTTGCCTTCCGTTAGTGAGCAATCGAGTCAAATCGGCTCCTTCAATTGGCAATTGTAGATGTTTGTCGAAGTTTTCGAGCATGGTTTCAGCGCATTCGAACATTGCAGATTTTTTCTTTGATCATCTAAACTTTTTATTCATGAGCTCTGGAATTTCTGCCGTTTTTTTGGTCACACTTAATTTTGATACCTTTTAGTATCAACATTACAATTCCATCTGAACAAGTGTGAAGAACATCCAAGATTGTATTGTACGGCTTGACATATTGCACCATTTTCGCCGCAACAGGACCAAATCCATTAACACCGCGAATACTATCTTCTAGAGTCTTATCCCCAAATCTGTCCAATCGTCGATCTTAAATCAATATAAGCGATGAATAAGAGGGTTTAAAATTATTATTGATTATTACCGTTTCCAAGTAGTGGTTTGTGCAGAGTTCCGTGAGAGTCGCATTAAAAACAAGCTTGTGGACTTGAAAAACCGCTCATTCCAAGAATTTTTCTTTTTGCCTTAAACTGAAATCTATAGAAATTTTTATCACTTAATCCTTACTGGTTGGTCAGAAACGAGTGACACGAGGTATGGAGAAAATAAAATATTGTTTACAACAAATGTTGACCCTTCGCCTTCCAATCGATTCATTATAATTTCCGTGACGGTATTCAAAACAAGGGTTGTTGGATTATTAGCTTTTAATTGCAGCATTCCACAGACTACAAGATTAATTGAAAGTTGCGACTTCATTGTAGGCAAATCCACTAACTGTAAAGTAATTGGCCACAAACTTCCTCTAAATGGCACATCTTTAATAAACAAATAATAATAATACCTGAAATGTCCTCGGGGATTGACGCCGTCCAGACTTAGCACCATGCTCAGATCACAATGATTTTCATCCTCGTATTTCCATGAACTGGAAAAAGAACTTCCTTGAAGATTGTGTGTGAAGTTTGGTGCTTTTTCCTTCAATTTCTTTCGAATTTCCATTATATCGTCAAAGGACGACTCCACAATCCCGCGAATTTGTTCGGTGAGAGGCAGCATAAGAAAAGTCGCCAAATCGCCGCAACTGAAATTGATCATAATAATGTTTGAAATGTGGTATATGTGTTTACCATTCTTTCTCTCTTCGACATCCACACTTTTCGCATATTGAACGCTTCATAATATTCTTCTTGAAATCATACCACAATGAGCGGGCTCTTTCAATCGGGATGAAGTTTTTAATTGTTGCCAGTCGTCTCAAAAAGCCTGCAACCATTTTTTGTCTTTGGAAAAGTATTAGTTTTACCATTATCTGTATCTTTTCCGAGTACCGAACTATACATGCACAATAATAGTTCATCGGCCAATTCCGATACACGATCATGTGCGGGGTAATTCGGTACGCATGACGGCCCGACTACTTCGGAGAATTCTTCAATTTCGCTTTCAGATCGTTCTCTCATGAGAAAGGATGTTGTTGATGCATCATTTTCATTATTTTCGTTGTTCGACGATTTGTTTCGAAGTGAAAGCCGGGCGTTTTTTCGAGCAAAGACCACACGTTTGGTCGGCATGCATCGCGAACCAGCAATTTGATCTTAAAATAATAAACAATCAGCAATATTAATATACGAAACAAACCTACCTTTCCTCAATTTGAGACCTTCTTTGGGTAATCGATGGCGAAGAGTTTTAGGCATTTCCAAAATTGATTTTTAAAAAAATTGTGATTAACATGGCGCCATCTGCATTCACATTACGATCAACTGCACAATTCCATCTATTTTTCACCCTTTCAGTGTCTATTTCTTATCATTATCTTCTATCTATTTTTTCCCAATTTTTCATCTATTTGTCATCCATTTATCGTATATTTTTCACCAATTTTTGAGATAATCTATTTTTCGCCCATTTTTCTCCTAGTTTTTATCTACTTTTCCGAGTAATCTATTTTTCATCCACCTTTTCACCATTTTTCGTCTGTAGCACAGTTGCAGTGAATATGACAATAATTGAATTGATTTGCTACTAATTGAATATTACACATCATCATTTTTGTTGCCAAAAAAGGAAGTTTGAGAATGCACAAACCTACAGCAGCGAGAAAATGTTTTCTCGTTGCCAACTCCCCCGACGACTCATCATTCAGTTGAACGCATTTGCATATAAATCGTGACCTGCGTGCCCCCCCCCCCCCGTCGCTCACCCGGCCCGGCAGCACTCATTCCGTTGTGCTATATGTTGGCGGTGTTCGGGGCGGCAGCGGCTTCTAGTACCCCACAAATTTGTCGACGTCGTCGCCGCCGGCGAGCAGCAGCATTCCCTCGTGCTCACGCGTGCTCTTTTTCTTACCCGCGCCAGAGCGCACATTCATATGTATGTATGTATGTTTATGCATGAATGTTTTGTATATTTTTGGATAGAAATTGGTATGCCGATGCTGGAAAATTCACAAAAATAAAACAATTGGGGTTCATATTAATTATTCTATTTATACCCAAATAAGGTCTCGTCTTATTTTTGGCCTCGAATGGAACTTTGCACACACACACACCTTGATCCTTCGCTTCGAAGAACTTGAATCGATTTTACAATTTTGAGAAACAGCTGAAAGTGTGGCATCGATTCACCATGGCTACGACGGAAAATGGATTTTCACTTCTTTTTCACAGCACAACACCAAACCCGTATGATTCATTTTTTTGCGACTACCCGCCTATATTCCTTTCTTGGTAATGCGTATTCTTTCTGATCAAATCGTTATTTTTAGTTGCGTTTATTCAATAGTAATAGATTTTCGGTCAAACACGAGTAGAATACAATTTTTCGTTCGTTTCAAAACCATAACAAGTGTATATTTTTCTGTTTTCTCGGATGAGCTTGATTCGCAGGTTAGCCGTTGTACGGCACGCGAATTCTCCCTCATTATGTAATTTCAAATTTGAATTAACTTCCCTAAAAATACAATGGTCCCAATATACCTCGTTTTTTTGCCTTGGAATTTATTAGAATCGCATTTTGACATTTTTGAAGGTAGATTTACGGGATGCGTCTTTCTCTTGGTCTCGCACGGACTAACTGGTTATTTCAAATTTTATGGACCGGATCGATAATTTTTTAATCCAACGGCGATGGAAATTTAATTAAATGCGAAACTCATTATGAAAAAATTAACCGTTCACGTAAAAACAGCCAAAAAAGCATTCAGATGTGGCGAGACCTTTTCAAGGCGCATCCGCGTATATCTACCCGTGTACGGCAGTCGTATGTGATTTCATCTGCGGACACTGCAGATGTTTGATAACCGGGTTGCCTTTAACTCGTAAATTTAATTCCAGTAGGTTCGACATATGTATTTTTTTCTGATTTTACAAGTTGCGTTAATATCGCGAATCGTAGAAATAGCATGCGAGAACGCGAGGATTTGTTTCCGGATGTCGTTTGTGCACCAATTCGTTTCCTTCTCGCTTCAATAAAACATTCAATTTCTCTGCAATTGTCAACCTATTCTAGTGGCCAACCCTTACCCAAGAAAAAAACGGAAGAAGAGAAGCAGCACTCAACGAAGAACAATGCGCATGGCATGCAATTTATTCGTGTTTTACCTAAAAATGCGGTTCGATGAAGAACACAAAAAAAAATACAAGGGAGAAAGTGGAAGAGAGAATGACGAGAAAATACTCGAATTTCGAATTGCGATTCGAATTACACGCGTTTCCGGTTAATTAGAAGATGGCCTCGTCGATGAGGAAATCGGAGAAGACTCGAGAGGGCTTGATCCGAGCCTTGTTGCCTGTTGAGCTCCGTGTCAATTTGCTTATTCCATTTCTTCGTCGAGCGATGCCCGATTCAGTAGCTTTCAATTGAATTTCGCAAAATAGTAGGCAAATTGCGCGAGTGAGAGCGACAAAGTGTTCAATTTGCGCAAGCTTTTTCTTCTTCAGTTTACGCGGCCCTCTTTGTGAAGCTAAAGCTTCTCTTTTGGTTGTCCCCCCCCCGCCCATCACTTCGTTTTTCGATCGTCTTTTCGTCGGTTTTCCGCTCTTAATTGCTCAATTTGTGAATAAAGATGAACAAATCTCGACGATGGCCATAAAACACTCACATTTGCATGTTTGAACGCGCCAAAACCAATTCGGCTTCGGTCGGGCTCCCACTCTCCAGGGACAAATTCCTTCTCTGTGGAGAGGAGACATCACTTACGAGAAGCGTCCTTCCACTCCGTATTTTCTTTTCTCTTCCCAAAATTCGTTGTTTTTTTTTTCAGCTTGAATATCAGACGGGATTCAATAATGAGTTTGCGTCTGCCGACAAGCGTGTGCCTGATGCGTTGCCGATCGGCCAGAACTCGCCGCAGGTATGTTTTCGGCCCCACTGCCGTCCCTTTCTCCGATTCGACGCTTCCGTGGCAGGCAAAACGGGGATGACAGGAGAATATACAGGGTCGGGCATAATTACCGGTAGAAGTTCAAACGGAAGTATTTCAAAAAGTAAAGGTCAGAATAAGTTGAGATTCAACTAAAAGTTTATCTGGGTAATAACAAACATATAAATACTAAAGTTGTTCAACTCGGCCACCTCCCAAGCCTGTCATCAAGTCCTCCAGTCTCCTGATATCAGCAAATCGTCGAATAAACGGTGTTCGGAGGGAGTTTGAGGCGCTTGATGGTTAAGGGCATTTTGACTCTCTGATCGAATAGCGAGCAAACAGTGACTCGATGGATACTAGCCTTTACCATTTGGCAGAAAATTAGTACCAACTGGAAAAAGATTGTGAGGGCACAAAAAAACGCGACATCGTTAGTCACCATGGCGCAAAAAAATTACCGGTAATTGTACCCGACCCTGTAGGCAACTAGTTATCTACTGTTTGACCACCTTGCTCAAACACCCACTTTCTATCAACTTCCTGACAGCTCCGCTTTTGACTGTGATAGGCAACACGTTCGGTTGTGAGCCGAAGCGATTGTGGTTCGAGCCCACCCGGAAGCGAAATCGTTTGGCACCGATCCTTTGTCGATTTAGAAATGCGCACACGGGCTTTACGCGGAGCAACTGAATGGAACCGCCTTCACGGCTCCAAGAACAAGCAACAAAAGAAGCTGGCTCTATCGCATTCGGCCGTCGGTGATTCACCGACCTTTTGTCAAGTTTGAAAAGGCGAAGTCGGTTGCAAAATAAGCGTGTGCACAGACCAACAAGCATGTCATTTCTAGGTGGACCAACAACTTTTCGGGAATTGAGCCCAACCCGAACCAATATCGCTGGAATCCATTCCCATTTCCAAAAGAGGAGGACAATGTTGATTTTATCAAGGTACATATATTAATGGAAAAAAACCAATTTCTCAACAAAAATTGGCAGGGTCTTTATACCGTGTGCGGTGGAGGTGACGTCATCAGTCGCACCGGATTGTCGATCCATGTTTATTCGTGCAACGCGAGCATGAAAGACACGGCAATGTACAACGCCGACGGAGATTTTTTGATTGGTTGGTCTCATTTTGTTTTACGAGCCACATATCACTCATATCAAACGATGTCATTAATCTCGACAATTCTTTATGAGCTCATTTCAGTGCCCCAACAAGGCGAGCTTGAAGTGACAACCGAATTCGGACGAATCCTCGTTCGTATTCAGGAGATTCTCGTGATCCCACAAGGGGTCCGCTTCTCCATCGGCGTTCGCGGACCATCGAGAGGATACGTGCTCGAGGTGTTCGGAACTCACTTCCAATTGCCGGATCTTGGACCGATCGGAGCCAACGGGCTCGCGAATCCAAGAGATTTCGAGACGCCGGTCGCTTGGTTCGAAGATGTCGACAAACCGTTTACCATTGTCAACAAGTACCAAGGCGGATGGTTCAAGGCTCAACAGGACCATTCTCCATTTGACGTCGTCGCCTGGCACGGAAACTATGTTCCGTACAAGTACGATCTTCGCAAGTTCATGGTCATCAATACCGTCTCGTTCGATCATTGCGTAAGCTTCGAATTGAATGAATATTTAATTGATCTCATTCAATTAAGGACCCTTCAATCTTCACCGTTTTGACAGCTCCATCGAACAAACCGGGAACGGCCATTGCCGATTTCGTGATATTCCCACCACGCTGGGGAGTCGCCGACAACACTTTCCGTCCGCCATACTATCATAGTAAGTGAATTTGCAAAAACAATTTCGCTCTCGGGTGGACTCGAACCATCAACTTTTTACTCATCGCCAAACATCGATTATTGCAGGAAACTGCATGTCGGAGTACATGGGACTGATTGTGGGATGCTACGAAGCGAAGGAAGGAGGATTCAAGCCAGGAGGTGGATCTCTTCATTCGATGATGACTCCGCATGGTCCCGATTTCAAGTGTTTCGAAATGGCCTCGAATGCCGAGTTGAGGCCGCAAAGAGTGGCTGAAAACACAATGGTACGTCATGTTTTCTGAAAACAACTTATTTCTTTTTTAATTCAATTCAGTCGTTCATGTTCGAAAGCTCGCTTAACATGGCAATTAGCTCATGGGCGGTCGAGGAAAACGTCGACAAGGATTATTACAAGGATTGGCAGCCACTTAAGAAGCATTTCGTTTTGCCAAAATAGATTGATTGCCTTATATATCGATAAATCGTTAATATCTTTTTTTTAATATTACTGTGCCTCTAAATGGGTCTCATAACCCAAATCATATACATTCGGATTCAATATTTCTAAATTGAATATTATCGATTTGCAGTTGGATGAACGTACCGAGCACCTCGAATCGAGGTTACGCCAAGTATCAAATTCGGTCTTCAGGTTTCTTATCATTTTCAGAAATTCAAAAAAGGCATAACTGATTTTTAGGTATGCCTAAAGTGCTGGCAAATGATACTGAAGTGTTCTCCCTTGAGGATTGTGACGAAGTCAATGAATCCAAACATAATGGGTAATTTAGATGTTGCAGACATTTTATTTTATAGGATATTTCGATTTTCAGAGGTAATGCCAATCACGAAGAAGAGAAGAGCAGACTGGTGGAATGTCGTCTTGACAGCGACGAAGACGAAGAAGAAGACGAGGGAAAAAAGATGGCGAATGATGACGACAAGAAGAATATTCGACAAGCCAGCAGTAGGTGTTCAAGCGATCTCTCAATCAGCTGAATTCGACTCATCAGATTCTTCTTCGAATAATCAATCAAAAGAGAGATGCCGCCTCCGTGATTCGTTTGATCTTGACAATGATTCTTTATCCGATGATCTCGATCTCCTGCCGCCTGTTCCGGGAGCGCCGAACTCGAACTCGTCGTGGTTCAGCAAACTTCATAAATTCAACTGCTGCAATCCGCGAATCCCATCGAAATGCTTAATAATGTGAACTGATTGATACTCAACAATTCTGCATAATGATCTCATTTTTATACAATCGGGTCGCAAATTTGAATATAGCTTTATAAACGACTTCTTTCCTCGGTGTTCTTTGCTGGTGGCTCGATGTAGGAGAGTCGATCCCAATCGGGCATGTCCGGTGGACATCCCAACGTTCGTTTGAAAAATTTGATTGTGTTTGCCCAAGTGCGCTCTTGAGATTTTGCATGAAGCACAACTTCGCCACCGTATCCACAATAGAATCCTGATAACAATCAATCGAATCGAATGAAAGCTTCTCGGCAGGATACCTTGGAATTTGGCATATACAATCTCGTGATGTGGGAAGTATGGCGGTTCCATGATATGACCACCATTCACCAGCTCGAGCTCAACTTCGTGTCCAGTCTCTTTCAGCTTCTCTTGCATGTACAGATTCGCGTGGACCGACGGCGCGCAGAGATCGTCGACACTGCCCTTCAATGCCCTTCCATTTGCATTTCAATTCATTAATCAAAAACCCACAATCAACCGGAATTTGGTGTCTCTCGGAATTCGATGCCACGGAATTTCGGTTTCCGGCGTCAAATCTTTTGTGATTTCCTTGAAACACTTGTACGTGCACATAATTGTGTTCAAGAAGAAATATTTTTGGTCGTCGAGTCTGAAAACAAATTGGTTTTCGCAATTATTTTAATTGCGAGGTGATTTACACAACGCATGGCAGATATTTTCCATTTTCGCGAATTGTTGAATACGAACAAAGCGCTTGTGGTCCGTTAATTGAAACTACTGATTTGATCTACAACTATTGAGCTTTGAGAACAATGCTTATTCGTTTTAGTTAGTGATACCTGTGGAAAACGAGTTGCCATCAAATTCACCAAAGTTGCACCAAAAGAGACACCCTGGATACCAAGCATATTTGTGGTATACGGTAGATCTAACAGAAATTGAATTGGCTTCTGTATATCGAAAATAAATTTCATTGACGTTGACAAAATTTTTCATACCAAAAAATATTCAATTTCGACGTCTTCAAGCTTTAAAGGGAGGTCTTTAAATTGGAAAAAAGCTACGCAGATGACCACGAATCCTTCGGAAGCTAGCATGGAACCCTGACAAACCATTAAGAGTTTTGAATGAGCTTGGGTTTACTAGAAAACCAACCTTATGCTCATGAAGACCTCCTCCAGTTCCCGAAATATCCATGACACAAGGGAATGGTCCGTCGCCAGGCGGTTTGAATAGGGTCCCGTAGAATCCGTCGTGTTCGATTTCCGTCCGAGTAAGCTTCGGATGCATCCAGTGTTTTTTGATATAAATTTTGTCGATCAATTTCTCGGCATTATCGAGAAGTCTGCAGAAAATGTGTGATTGCTGGAATTGAGAAATGGTCATACTGTAATTCGTAGATGAATGGAATTGGAGGAGTGCAACGAAGGTAGCCGCCAAACGCGAAGTCCTCAGAAGGCGTCATTGAAAGAAATAAGCCCATTGGATCGGCTTCTGTTGATTATTTTCCAAAATTAGTTCAAATCGCAATTTTTTTTTTACCAAAATAGGTTCCCCGAAGTGGTTGCGCTGTTTTCAGATCGATTCTTCCATGTGAATCGGCGCGAAAAACCGCCTGAGAGAAATGCGATCCATAATTGTGACGAAGTCTATAATTAATCGAAACTCGCTATCGCTATTTGAAGCCCATTCAGTACTTCATATAGAATCGATAGTTCTGGAAAGCATTCAATCCGCTCGCCGTAATATGAACATGTTCCGGTTGAAGGGTGTCCGGTTTATCGATGTGCAAATGCTTTCCCATGCCTGCAAACGAACAGCAAATTTCTAATCAGTACCCGGGGCTTGGTTTTGATAGAATTGTGCAAAATTAGAATTGCTTCGAATAAAAAATGATTGATTGAATCAGATTTGCAAAAAAAAACAAATCAAATGAAAGTGTGCAGAATTGAAGGCCATATTATTTAAGGAAATTGATGCGATCGGTTGGCGAGTTTTAAATTCGACAAATGCAAGCCGGAATCTGATGCCACACCTCCTGCTCATCTAATCAAACGCCGACGAAAATGCAGCCGCCATCGTTTTTCTAAGCGGATTCTCGTGACGTTTTTGCCCCGTTTTATCATTAAGTTTTCAATAAATCAAAAATTTAGGTGATAACAGAGTGCACCTATTATTCATTGGGGACAATTGCGAGGGAGTTCAAATTAGAAGAATTAAACATTGAACTCAAAATAGAAATATTTCGACGGCAGTTTCGAATATTTAGATATTGATTTTGATGCGAAAATAAAAGAAAAATCATTCAGACAAGATATAGGAATGAGAGCGAGAGAAAATAAAGGATCACCGACTACTAACCCCTCGTATGGTCCCGAAAAATGTCCGCAGATGTTCTCAATGAAATTTATCTTGTTAAAATTAAAAAAAAAACATTTATTTTATTTCAATTTTGACAACCCCATAGAGGGAATTTGTTAATCGCAATGCCAATAATCAACAAATCAAACTCATCGTGAATCTGTATTAGGTGCTTGTTTTCATCTTTCGAGTCAATGTTCGTTGAATCTCGGATCATGGTGGTCTTTTTTTAGCGACTTGTTACATAATTAAATCATTTAGCAATCAATTCTGAAGATCGGGTTTGGGGTGTCATAATTTAAACCTAGTAATTTTCTATGTACACATTTCAATTCACCTTCGCAAGTGACTGAATCAAATGCAGAAATTTCTAGCATTAAAAATAGTCCAATCTCAACTATTCTCTATTCAAAAATATTCGAAAACCGGCAGGACGTGTCGATTTCAATTCGTTTCGCCGCATTTCTTTAATTCATTTTTCAAATTTGTTTGATAAGTTAACAAACGAATCGAGTCGTGATGGCTGAGGGTAATAACGATAAAACTTCGCAAGGTATATTTATTCGATTTTCGACTGTCGAAAACCGTTTGATGATCAGATAATAAGGATGGTAAACGCTTATTCAAATTCGTGTTCAACATGACGAAAAAGTCGGACGATCAGACTGAAATGACGGCGGATTTTGTCGGGGTTTTTTTTTCTCAATTTCGGATTTTTAGAGATTATATTTTTTTTGGTTAGGATGTTCAACACTATGTGGAGTACGACGACGCAGCCACCAAATGCGTTCAATATTTCGAAGGTTGTTATGTGCCGGTTGGTGGGCGAAGCGTCGGAAAAGACGACGATGACGCTTTTCAGCGACTTTCGGTGGCATTGCATGATTACAAAGTTATACAAATTAACTAGAAGAAATCAATGATTTTACTGGGAATTTTAGGATCATTTTCAGTCGAGCGTAAGCGCGAATTTGGAAAGGTTCTCAGCAAATATGAAGTTGGCGTGTTCGGCGAGAAAAACACATCAGGTAGATCCGACTGATCAGAACAATTTTCTGAATTTGTTTCACAGAAAGAGCAGAAATATCAATTACGCCATCTTCGAAGATTTCACGTTGATGAATTTCAAAAGTTTTTGTCACAAAGGAAGGCATTCGACGAGTAGAATCATTTAATTTCTTTTTTTGCTCATTTCCAATGACTCATAATTTCAGATCAAGAAAACGAATGGACCAGGCGAAAGCAGACGTTCGAGACGCGAAGACGACCGCTCAGATTGAGAAGAAAGCCATCTGCTATCAGATGGCCGTCGATGATTTCGACGCGCAAACCGATACACTCATCAAGCTCATCGACGGCCTTCCGAAAACCAAAGCAATCAATTGTCGGGACATTCTGATGGTTTTGATGAAACACAAAGTCTATCACGCTGATATGCATCGATTCTTCAAAATGTAATTAATATAAATATTCGTTTTTTTTTTAAATTATAAATTGTCAATATCACGGCGCGCCGAACCGCACGTGTGGCCTAGAAAAAATTTCAAAAAGCAAAACTGCGGTCTCTAACTAACTTCTTAATAAAAAGTTAGTTGGTCCACAATTATGCAAGGCTCTTGTTTTTTTGCGATAGTAATTTATAAATAATTTATAGATAATTTAAGAAAAATTTATCAACTAATTCATCAAGTGTGGCCGTGGCCGAATCTAATTTTTGGGACATTTTTTCTAGGCCACACGTGCGTGGCCTTGACATGTAATTTATACCACCATTTTTGAGGCCACGCATTTAAAATTTCCCATTTAAAAATCTTTATTTATTCCGTTTCTCCGTTTTACCTTCCTTCGTTGTTGTAGGTTTCACAATTTCCTTCTGAAATTAAATCGAATCAACTAGTCATCAAAATTTGTTTCACCTTTTTCACAGGTACCGATTTTGCTGGAATTTTACTATTTTTCTCTTTTTCCTTTGCCTTTTTATTTTCCTTAACCATTATCAATATTATCATTCGACATATTCTGAACTCACTTTTTCTTCGATCGTCGCCATTGTCTTGTCATTGTCCTTCTTCTTCCTCTTTTTCGTTTCCGATTGTTTCGCTTCCTGCTTCTTCACGTCCAATTTTCCAGGCTCCGGTTTCTTTTCGGCTTCCATTTGTGCAAATGCTGCAGCGGCAATTGTCGCCGCATTTGCTGCAGCTTTTTCGTCGACCTTTTTCTTTTCAATCGATCTGGATATACAATATTCTCCTCCCCACGAAGGTGGAATTAATTCCGGATTCTTCATCATCACTTCAATGAGAACCCGTTTCACCTGAAAAGAAAAGAAGTTCACCATCATAAATTCTTCTTGATGTCAAATTATGAATACCTTAATTGGGTCTTGAAGAAATTGCCTAATATCATAGTCGATCACTATGCTGACTTTATCCGAAAACGATGTGATATGAGTGATCGCATGACTCAACGTGGTATCCAAAACATTTACTAACTGAAAACTCTTGAATTTGCAAAAGCGAAGCGATATTCTCTCACTTTGGGTGTCGGACTTTCTTTGTCATCCTTGAAATAACAATAGAGAACTCGAATGTCATCTGATTTAAACGATGCCGTCTCTAAAATATTCGTCTTAATGAACAAAGTGAGTAGTTTTTTGGCCATTTGAAATGCTTCATCTTTCTTGAAAACAATGTTCAGCGTTATGAATTATTAAAACGAAATACCGTCTCCTCTCGGTAGCCTGCAACCATTTTATGTGCCCATTTCAATTCAAAATTCTCTTCTTTTATTATAATAGGTCGACTCTGGAATGAATTTTAAAACAATTATAAGGTCAAGGACAATTATTTCAAGCAACATGAGGTTATTTTTTAGTTACTTATAGCTTATGTTTCTAATAATTTTGACCAGATGTGTTTTGCAAAGAAGATTAATAAATGGTTAATAATTTTGCAAGCGAGCCACAACGCCCGTGATAACGCCAACCCGAAGCGACGCTCTTTTACCAATTTTAGCGTAATTAATATTTTTAAATTAAATGTGTTTTATTTCTAAATCATATAAGTGTCTAGCGAAACTTTGCAAAGAACTGTTGAGAAGTTCAAGGCAGCTCGAGCGGGGTGTGACGCGGACGATTTTATAGGATTACTCACTGTGCATTCCAAATTGGATCAATCTTCCAACCGGAAGCACCTGATTATTATCGTTGTTACAAACTTTTGAGGTATATTCTAAGGGGGACTGAGCCGAGCGCCCGACGCCCAGGCCTAAGTTTTTTTTACAGCTTTTTGATAAAAGTGTCCGCAGATGAAAGTCAATGTGAAAATAGAAATATGCTGTATAATCGACAACCGGCGACTATAGATTTACTACACGTTCGCAAATTATTCACCTAACGACGTAAACTGGCAAAATAAAAGTAATTTTAGAGACAAAAAAACAACGAAACCCCCTCGCAAGTTTCAAATATCTCTTGTTCTTCTTCAACTATTTTTTTCACTGCCAATTTCTTTTTTTCCTCTTCCCCGAGATTAGAAAATGCTGTAATTTCGGGTGTCGCCGTTGTCTGAAATTATTTGTTTATATTGTCATTTTGACTCGATATCTCACTTGTTTCAATTCCGAATTCTTGCCGTCGAGACTGTTCTCTTCGTCGTAATTAACCATCGATTTCAGATTCTTTTTCGCCATAACAACCGCCGTCGAATCAAGATAATCATTGAACATTTGCCGTAATTTAAAATTTCTATCCGCCATTTTCGAGGCGGATAATTAAAAGAAATGAGTCATCATTTATTAATTAAATTAATTAAAGTTTGCTGTGGTTTTCATAATTAGCAGGACGCTCGATTTGCGTAAATCGATCCCAATCGGGCATGTCCGGTGGGCATCCCAACGTTCGTTTGAAGAACTTGATGGTATTCGCCCAAGTGCGCTCTTGTGCTTTCGCATGAAGCACAACTTCGCCACCGTATCCGCAATAGAATCCTTGGAACTTTGCATAAACGAGCTCGTAGTGCGGAAAGTAGGGCGGCTCCATAATATGCCCACCGTTGACGAGCTCAACCTCAACGTCATGTCCGGTTTCTTTGAGGCGTCTTTGGCGATAAATGGTGCAATGAACCGAAGGCTGACACATGTCATCAACGGATCCCTTAAAACACGCATTCTATTGATACTGGTGGAACACCGCAGTAGTGTTTTTTTCATTTTTCATCTCTCTCTCTCTCTCTCTCTCTCTCTCTCTCTCTCTCTATCGCCAGTTCTCCGTGTTTTTTATGTTTGTTTCTGATAATAAATCATTATGACTGATTTTAGTACTTCAGCCCAAACCGTCAAAAAAGAGTTTGAGAGAAACTCACAATAATTCTGAATTTGACATCACTAGGCGCTTTCCACCACGGAATTTCAGTTTCAGCCGTCAACGATAAGGTGATTTCTTTGAATGTCGGCGCAGTGATCAACACTTTATTGATAAACTTGAGCGATTCTGGTGTCGGCTGCTCGAACTTGTGCATCGGCAGATCTACGCCGTTCTCTTTCATAAACACATAATCCGAAATGCCGTGTGGCCCATTGATCGAAACGACCGATTTAATCTGAATTTCATTAATTTGAGCTTGTCGGTTTTCTCGGCAACCTACAACTTCTCCATGCCTCGTCGCAAGTAGATCAACAACTGTTGCACCAAACGAGACCCCTTGGATTCCCAATTTCTTATGTGTGAATGGAAGAGAAAGAAGGAAGTCGATTGGCTTCTGAAGGTTTCGAATCACCATTTGTTTGGCTAAAAAGTTACGCACCTTGAAATAATTCAGATCGACGTGTTCCATTTTTGCCGGCAAATCTTTATATTGGAAAAATGCGACGCACAAAACCACAAAGCCTTCAGAAGCCAACATTGCTCCCTGAAAATAAGAAAAATCAAAAAAATAATTCGAAGCCTTTTAAGCCTTGTGCTCATGGATTCCGCCACCAGTTCCGGAAAGATCGATGATTGCCGGGAATGGGCCATGGCCAGGAGGTTTGAACAACGTTCCAAAGAATCCGTCGTGCTCGATTTCCGTTCGCGTAAGCTTCGGATGCATCCAATGTTTTTTGATGTATATCGTATCAAGCACTTGATTAGCAGCATCAATAATTCTAGAAAATAAATCGAGTTTCGCGATCACGTATACGGTATGATTACTGTAGTTCGTATATGAATGGAATAGGGGGTGTGCAGCGCAAATATCCGCCATAGGCGAAATCCTCGCAAGGCGCCATTGAGAGGAACAATCCCATTGGGTCAGCGTCTGAAAATGAGCGAGGCTTTACGAGAAATATCCGAAATTCAGTTTTACTCTGATATGTCCCTCGAAGCGGTTTCGCATATTTCAAATCGATTTTGCCAGTGGAATCAGCTCGAAATGAAGCAAAAGCCTTATGGGTTCCGTAATTATGACGTAGCCTCATTACAAAAAGATAAGTGGCTTCTGCTCGAAGTCCACTAGCCCTTATTTGGACCTTCTCATTTTGCATAGTATCCGGTTTATCAATATGAAGCGACATATCTAAAAAAGGAAAAGGAAATGACGGGGGGGGGTACGAAATGAGTTCAAAGAAGCGCAGACGTAAATTATCAATTATTGGTCGCAAATCATGTGTTGAAAAAATATGGGCATTCTTATCAAAATGATAGACTGCTCAATGGTTGAAAGTACGTATCATGCGCCTTTAAACCGGACCTAATCGCTTATTGTTTTCAATTATTAGTATAAACCTCGCCATTGACCAAAATTATCGAACGAAATCAATTTTTTTTCAAGTTACAATAATTTCGGCGTAAAAAATTTCCGGATTCGATAAGCTTCAAAAATTTGAAATTATCGAATTATCACGTGGAATTGTAAATTTTGGACTTTCATCTTGATTTTTCGACTGTCAAACTTTTCGATTATGCCTTCTTATCAGAGCAAAATTATCCATCAGCTCGAAATTATATCAAGTATTGTTTCGAAAAGCACAAAAAAGTCTGAAAGTCAATGGAGTTTGACGGCTCTGAAATTATGAAATTCAGCAGAGCAGATTGTAAAATTGTTGAAAAAAATTACGAGTAAAATAAATAACATAAAACCAAAATTAAATCCTCACGACCAATTAATTAAGGAAAGAGTAATAATCACGACTAAATGAAAATTATATCTGTTTGGGTCAAATTATGTTTTAAAAATCTAAATATACCACTCCTATTTTTCTAATTCTTTTCTGCTTTATTTCCAAAGTAATTTTTAATAAAAATATAGATATTTGCGAATATCGAAGCAGACAAACGAGTTATTGCTCTCAGAAAAGCGAAATGTTCAAAAAAATTAATTGAAAAAATTGTTTTAACCTAACATAAGCCTTATTTTTTTTGGAATTGGGGAATCTGCGAGAATGACTTTAAAATTCGATGATGACGAATATTCACGAAATGTATTTGTCAGGTTCACATTTCAATTCCAGGTACCATTTGGAAATATGAGGCAACTTTTTTGAATATTTTGTATTAGTCTGATTTGTCTTCATTTTTTTTTTAATTCGACCTTTTATTTGCATCGGTTCACTCAGATGTTCAAGTTTTTGATGATAAAATTAATAATAGAAGATTTTAAAAACCAAAAAAAAAAACAATGTTGATGAGCTTAAGTATTAATAACTCTGGTTTTAAAAAATTGAAATGGATCCACATTGGTTGGCTTTAAATTACTAGAGAAGAACAATTATTATGAATCTCAAATCATATCTTTATGTGATCAAAAGTGGCTTGCTGAGAAATCATAATGAAATGAGTTTTCCTTCTTCAAGGTACTCAAGGTGGTTTTATAGGCGATGCAAGGAACTAAAAACCAAATGTCGCTGAAATGCTCGATATGAACCCGTCAGTTTAATCCTCTTATGGCGATAAGAATGAAGTGGGAAATAAAAAACATGGTCTAGAGCGAGAGACAAACAAGTGATGAGATGTTTGTGCTCGGAATTCGTACTTATTTTACTGATAATCTATTTGTGAATAAATTATTATCGAAATGTCTGGCAATTCAATGATTTATTGACAAATCGCTGGTAATTTACTAACAGAGCATTGAACACAGGCGCTACGGAGAAAATCCCGCTTGATTTTTAGCTGAAAAAGGAATTAATCACATCAAATATGATAGAATAATGCACCCCCAGAGGCGGACGAAGGAATGTATTTCGAGAAAGGCGAGGATAGAGCGGATGATTCTGGAAAAATGTTGCAATTCGCGATTAAAAAAAATATGATTCACCGAATTCAAGTAAACTTCCAAAAACTGTTTAAAATGATAGCTAATGATTGCGGCTGTGCAACAACTTTGCAGATCCGAGAATAATGCTTCTTGGGCAGTCATCAGCATTTGAACAACATATTCCAAATCTTCAAAATTCTGAATCGTATATTTATTTTCTGTAATATCTAGAATCACTTACGCATTTCAGCTCTTCAATACAATGCTTTTCCACAGACTTTCTCAAATATTTTAGCATTTTTGATCTATACTGAGCTGCTAAATGGATTATTTCGCCAGCTAGGGATGGTGTCATCCTTTCTGGAGCTTTGTAGTGATCAGTGAACATATAAGTTAGCACCTTAATTGCGTTTCTTTTAAATATAATTCTACTGTTTTTTTTACTATTTGAATTGCTAGAACACAACCACCTTCTTCAACATATTCTTTCATTTGCGGAGTCAACACCGATCGAAAAAAAGGCGACGCAATGAAAAGAGCTTCTTTTGATACCATCATGTATCCTCCACGAGAAGAAAGTATTTTGAAATCATGTCGAGATCTAAAGCATCAGATAATAGTTTTAAAAAAATGCATGAAACATACCTTTCAACAAGCGGTGCAAAATAAAAATCAAGGTACAGAGGTACTGGCTTCGCTTCATCAGTCGTCGCGATCGATATAAAATCTTTGAGATTATATTTAATTGTACATCCAATTTCTAACGTTTTTCCTGTAAATTAAAACACGTTTATTTTTTCGTCATACATTCAGGTATTTTTAAAAAATTTTTTTTAGCCACTGTTTCTTTAAAAATTTGCCGCTTTTTCGGCTGATGAGTTTGTTAAGGCAATAAGAAAAAATCATGAAAAAAAATGAACTACCGTAACCTACTTAAAGGAACATACAATTATGTTTTAAACGGTCTTGAAGATTATTTTTGAAAAATGAAAACAATTTTTGGGAGTTTAACATTTTTTTCTTATTTTGAAGGAATGTCAGCGTTGAAAGTTAATAATCAACGATAATTACGTAATTTATTCTTTTTTACAATTATTATGCCAGAATTAGTGAAATCAACAGCATGAAAATGTATCAAATTTCATAAAATTAACATTTCGCCAACATTTGAAATTTTCATTTTTAACTTCGTGAAATTTATGAATAGAAGCTAAATCAACGTTTTCAGATGTTTTATTCGAAAGATCTATTGGCACGCGAGCAAGCAGTTTTCTACGTAGTATGGTATGAGAAATAATTTTGTCTGTCAAGGAAATGCTAATTTCAGGCAATATGCGACCAGGCAGAAAAACTCTGTTGATAAGCGTGAAGTCTTGAAGCAAAAACTGACGAAATTGTGGTAATCTAAATCACGAGAAAAAATAATACACCTAAAATGAGTTCAGTGAATCTATCATGGAGCTAATTCCAACAATGGGTAAAAGCGGTACGACCCCTCAGCTGTCTCTTTACTTGCTTGCTCAACTTCTATATGGCACTGTGCTCATTTATAGCAAGCAAGTCGACTTTTTGCAGAGTTCGTCGCTAATAGAGAAGAAAATTTAAAAAAAAACCAAATGTTTTAGAAGACGCCGAAATGCTTAAAGAAAATCTTCGAAATAAAAATCTTCTCGCTAAAATTATAAAAGAATTTGAAAAGCATGAAAAAAGGAAAGAAAGACTACGCAGTCTCTCAGCTGCCGGCACGATTGATTTGAATGCAGAACTAGGAATGGATATAAATCTCATCCCAGATGAAAGCGTATGAAAAAAATGAAAAAAAAATGTATAATATGTGGAGCTATTTTTTAAGCTCTCGGTGTCGCGAAAAGAAATTACACTAACAGAGGATTTACCGTTTCCGACATGGAAGAACCACGATTTAAACGAAGATTTAATACAATTTTACTCTCCGATTAACGATTTTAGGTTTGTTTTGTGTTGATTGAAAATTACATAATTCTTAAATTTCAGTTCTGGGGATACGTTTCAACGAACATTTGTGGAAAGTAACAATTCCGAAGAAAGCAACAGAGGCGATATTCGAAATGCTTCGTCATTTTTTGTAATCTATCATTTTTGTTTAAAAATTTGCAATATTCTATTTTCTGCAGGCTGAAAACCTTGAGTTTGCGCCTGTTCCGAATAGAGATGCTGCAAAATCTGGAGTTCGAGATATTGATGATTCTCGAGAAAAACGAAATACGAAAGATTTAACCGTTGCGAATCAAATCGAACCTGCATTTGTGGACCCACTCGAGCAAACAAATCTAGAAGGTATTGCTGTTGCACAGCCGGAAGAAAGGCCGCAAATTGTTGCGGAAGACGATATTCTTCGTAATGCGCCGGACGTTGTTGCGCAACCACCAGAACAACCATCAAAGGATCCATTCATTGATGAAGTTCGAGATCAGTTTGAGATTCCACCCCAAGTTTCTACACCGTTCACTCCTATAAACGATGGAAGAATCAGCATTTTAACACCAACACCGCTTGAAAATGAGCGGATTCGTTCAATGTCGGTTCATTCTCGTCCAATCACTCCAAAATTGCACGATTCAACACTTCAAACTCCTTTGAAGCGAAGATTTGATGAGGTTTGAATTTCACTATATCTAAAAACTTGAATTTTTGCCTAGACCCTCGAATTAGACTCTCAAATCTTTATGGAGCCAATTCATCAGGCTCCACGAAGGAAAAATCCAAAATTCGATCGTGGAGATCTTCAAATATCAAAGGTATTTACTATATCAACACATACAAAAGAAAACTCATAAAATACGAAAAATAGGAAGAAATGAAAGCAATGGAGAAAGACTATTCGTCGTTATTAAAAGATATGAGAAATGTGATGATAAAAGAACCGAATCCGAACGAATTGACCATTGAACAACTTTTTGATCCATCTCCTTATTATATAAATAGGAAAAGTAAGATTTTTAATTTAATGATAACTAACAAAAATATTTATTAAGGATTTCCCGAAATGTTGCGTTCACTTTATGGTCCTGGACGTTATAATCCCAATATTGGCACAACAATTGAAGACGAAGATGATGAAAGCTCAATTTGCAGTTTCGATGAAAAAGATGAGCGTTTCGCCAAAACGTTTCTTCTCGAATCGCCACAGCGGTATTTTCCATCATTGTATATACGTATATATGTTTTTTGTTTTTTTAGAACCATTCCTCTCGAAAATAACGACATCTCGAATCAGAAGGAATTGACGAATACATTCCTTGACGATAATCAACACATCATAATATCACAATTAGATTTATTGCCAATCGAAGAAATCAACACCGAAAAAGAAAAAGAGGAAGAGGAACCTGTCGGTCAGATTCGTCGAAGAGAAAAGAGCACATTTGGAATAATGCCAGAACAAATTGGTTAGTGATTTGAAAGACTAATAATGTTTCAAGAAATGGTTAAAATTACAGTAGAACAGCTTGAAAAGGATCCCGTTTTTGTTGAAGAAATACCAGAAAATAACAACGACGAATTTTTCTTCACGTAAAAACTAATTTTTTAAAATGTATACATAATACACGATCTTTTTCAGTTCTGGTTGTTTAGTTGACATAAAACACAAAATCGAGGATGAAATTATAACGTATACAAAATTCTTGCTTAAAATGAAAGATAATGTAATATTTCAGTGAAGTGAGGAATGCATTACCTAACGAGCTAAATTTCAACGAATTTGCGGCAAAAGGAAGTCGAAAAAGAGCTGCATGTGCATTTGGAGCTCTAATGAGTATGTTTCGAATCCGTTTCAGTTCAAGTTTAACAATTCTAGCATGTCTGTCGAATAATTTGTTGGTAGCAAGACAGGAAGAAAACTTTTCGACGATTTATGTAACCGAAGGAATGTCAACGCTTAGCCTAGAAGGTAACGATTTATCTAACACAACCGATTGATAAATTAATTTTAAATTTAGAAAGCTCCCAACTGACAGAACCATTGGAATAGATGTTTTTTTTTTTTTCAAAAAGTTAGCTGTGCCATTAAGTTTGAGTTAATAATCCCACAATAATATGCCCAATTATACATATATTAATAATTTTTTTTCCACTTTCAAAGTGCCACTGTATCATATTGAATTTGATTTGTGTTGGTGTAATTTGTTTGCATTTGTCCCATAATTTCATAAATTTACCTTCGTAATCATGACTATCGAAAATTGATTTCAAAAATGTTGATATTTCTGAATTGGTGTCTGTTCGGAATCCCCTAATATTTTGTCGTTGATTTCCGTCGAAGGAATGGCTCATTGCCGGCACCAACTCTGATATTCAATTTTTACATTTTGTGCAATTTGGTAAAATACCCGATCCATCTGAATTCACCAGCCGAACACGAAGTTCAATTCGTAGAACATCTGGATAAGTGTCTCGCATCGCATCCTCGACTATTGTGATCTAAAAGAATATGTGAAATTAAACATTCTTCAGAATCCTACCGCATATCTTGAAACTAGTCTTGGTTGAATCAAAATTGCCGGAAATGGCAATTCGGAGAATTTGTCAATTCCCAGATCCCTAATAATTTCAGAGAAAATTCTCACATGATTCATTCGCCATATTTTGACAAACCATCCGACCATCGAACTACCATAAATTGTTGTGAAACAATCATCCATATCCGATCTTCGAGCTCCAATCAAACGACGATATGTATAGCAAAATGTTAGAATATTCATGAGAAATTAATTAGCAATGAATTAATCATTTCTAACGCCAATTTATTAATTACTAATCAATAAATATATATTTTAATTAATTTTTTAATTAACAATTAAAAAAATCATAGACAATGCGAGTTGATATCATCATCCTGATTCTCAAACGTCAGATTCTCAGTATCTTGGTCCTTCAAAAAAAAAAGAGTTTGAATTTGAAAGAAATAATCCGACAATACCTTGGATTGAACGGTATTTTGAGATAGCGGATCGCGATATGATATTGATTTCGTTTTTGGCTTTATTTTCTAGAAAATTTATTTAAAAAAATCTGAAATATTGTGAAAGTGGCAAACTGTTTGTTTTACTTGAACTGATTGAATTTCGTCGTTTTTTGGGATGCTCATTGTTCCAGATTTTTTCGAAGTCGACGGCGACGATGGAATTGTTCGATTACTAGTATTAGTATCCTTATGCTCAATCGGCTGTTGTCGAGACGGCCACAATGTCGATGGCGCATCACCTGGAAACGGATTGCCGCTGGTGTTCGAATCCGATGACGTCGTATTGCCTACAATTGATTCGAATCATTTCGAAACGATTTCTCGATGGTACCTGTTCTCTTATCCTTGCCTTTCTTCCTGTTATTCGAACAAATAACAATTGCATAGTAAGAAATTAAAACATAGATTAATCCTTCGGTAATTCTGATTATCAAATCACTGCGAAACATTTTCATATCAAAAATTATTACAATATATAGAAAAAAAAACTAGAAATGACGAGAATTTTGAAAGAACTGAAGGTCAAATAGGAATTGTGTTTATTCTCGCATTTTTTTTTTCAATTTAAAAATCCAAAATTTCGCAGGTTTGGTTCAAATACATATATTACAGTACCGCACAGTATTGTTGAGAAATGACAAATGTATCCAGGTGTCGTAGGATCCTGAGTTTTGTACGCAATGCTAAGAGCCAGTTACCGTAATCCTCGCAGCGATTTACGGAGTTTTTTTTTTTAATTTCCTTCAATTTTTTTGCTGAATTTTCTTATTTTTCTTTAGAAATCTTATATATAAAACCTGTAGAAACCGAGTTTAATTATTTATTTTTCAGAATATGCACTTTTCCACTTGTCCAGTTGAGTTGGGAATTATTGTGAAGATTTTGACGCTCTAAAAATTATTTTGAAAATGAAGAATACAAAAACAAGATAATAGAAACGCATACAAAAAGCAAAACACGATTAATGACAGAAATGTTTTCTTTTAAATCTGCTGTTTTTACCAAAAAAATATCGTTTAAAAGTGCTTATTCTGCTAAATAATTTATTAAACTCGGTTTCTGCAAAATTTAAATAACAAAATTTCGAAGGGAAATACGGATGTTGAGAGAAAAATAAAAAATGAATATGCGAAATTAAATAAAAAAAAGTCATCGTAAATCGCTGCAAGGATTACGGTAACTGTCTCTTAGCATTGCGTACAAAACGCAGGATCCCACGACACCTGGATACATTTGTCATTTTTCAACAATAGTAGTTTTTTCAATCTCGTTTTTAAGCCAATTAGTGCGTTTCCCCAAAAAAATCGGCATTAATCAGATTTTTCGCTGCAAGACCTCGTTCAGCCGCGTTACAATTCACGTTTACAAACAAAGAATTTCGAAAAAATGAACAGGACCGCACGCGAACCGCAACGCGTCTGGTCAATTTGAATAATTATAGTTACCGTTGTTTTTTAATGGAAAACAGACTATTATTTTTTTAAATTCAGCACCACGGAATATCAATACAAATTACGTTAATATATATTTTTTTATTTTTAGGAAAAAATAGTGATTCTGAAATTGTTTTAGATGGCAATATTTGTTTCAAGAGATTCTAAACGAATTGAATTATCATTTTTAAATTTCAGGAAGTTTGAAACACTTTTCGACATACTTGCGACGGGCGGATCGGACTGAAAATGGGCTCCACCCACAAATTAGCAAGCACTACAGCTGGGAAATGGTCAAAAAGTTGTTAAATATTGGATTAAAAAAATGGATATTTTTCTAGTCGGAACCATTTTTTTTGTCGAAAATGGATATCTTCACATTGCAGTACTGTATGCTCTTTTTTAAATAAAGTTTTGTTTTGTCGAGAATGGACGAATTTAGGGGGATCGTTGCTTATTATTCAAATTCCAATTTTGGCGCCATGCTCTTATTATTACTTTCGATTTGATCTTGTATAAAATGCATTACAAATTACAGTAGATATCAAAGGCGCATTCAAAACATTGTTGCTTTCGCGCTAGGATCAAAAATGGTTAACGCGTTTGATCATTCAAATTCGTCCGTCTTCGACAATATGATGCCTCAAACGTGATACTAACGATGTCTTCATGTCGTCATTTAATTATAGGTTCGGTCGGAATTGAGCAGTGGATCCAGAATCCAATCGTACACATTCAATGCCAAGAATGTTGGTATCAATTCAAATAATAGATTTTTGTTTCGAATTACGCCAAATCAAATGAGAAAATGTTTCGAAAAATGCAAAATTTGTTTGTTTTTTTTTTCAGTCGACACGTGTTTCGAATTAGTTCGCTGTTTGATTCAGAAATCTTCGATTGTCATCTCTTTTTTTGGCTTGTGATTCGTTAACAACCAAAAATTGAAAATAAAATTGTTTCGCAACAAAATCTCAACAATTAATTGAAATTGGAGGCAGTTGGTTTCTCTTTTTTCGAAAAATCAAACACTGCCGTCTTTCGACACGCCAACTAGCCATAAAATGCAACGCGGTCAACAAATACTCGACACAATTGAATGCACTTTTCATATAAAAACGATTCTACATGTATTGAAGAGAAATTAAAAAAAAAAAGAACACATACATATTAGTTGCGATCCGTTTGAAAAAAAAAAACAATAACAAAAAGTTGAGAGTCACATGAAACACCAATCGCGTTTTTCTTGGTGTTCTTTTTTCACTGATTCCGAGTCGCACAAGAAAAAAACAATACTTGAGTTTGCCATCGAAATTCGGTGTTTGAAATGCAACTCACCGCAAATTGTTTGCGTTCGCAAATGAAATGTCAACATGGGCGGTGCAACTTGTGCGCAAATCATCATCTCTTTTTTTCATGATTAACCGATTATTCTTGAAAATTTCTCTTCTCAACTCAAACATTTCGCCTATCATTCCATTCGTTAATCCATTTTCAGTTTTTATTTTCAGTTGCTATTTTTGATTCGAATAAGACCGAAGAGGAATTCTTCAATGCATCGTGTAGGCCCACAAGTTTCGATTTATCTAAATTAATTTACCACAAAGGAAAAATTTGTTACCACAATTTCAAAAAGGACAAACTTGATTGGGCCCATTCAATTTGATCACGATCTAGATATCCTAATGATTGATGCTGGAATTGTCAATATTTATTGATTGTCTATTAATCAAAGCGAAACTGCACTGGCAGCACAAAACTGATCGGATCCGATAAAATTCGGCTCTGGAAGCAATCCGATCCAACCAAAAAATCTACGGATCAGATTGTGAAATTTTCGCATTCGATTTGTCTTCATTTTTTCAATCCGATTCTTCTTTTTATTGATGCGTTTTGTGCAAAACGTCCATTTTTGTCGATTTTTTCGGGATTTCATTTCATTCAAACACCCAAAAAACGTTGATAATTCAGTCTCGAACTCTCGCCGCGAAATTTCGGCTCAAATTTCACATTTCCCACAGTGTAGTATGAAGGGAAATTATTATCAAAATATTTTGTGAGATACACAATTATTCGACAACTACATAAACGTATTTATTTTCGAATTCAAAAAAAAAACATCAAAAAACAAATTCCGAAAGGTGTCGTTAATGGGTCCATTAAAACTCGGTCGAGATGATAAAAACTGGTTGCTGAAAATTTCGTTTAAAAATGAAGAGAAAAATATCATTTCGTTCTTTTTTTTGCCAATGATTGAATCGAAAAAAAAAACTATTGAAATCGGAGGTTGGAGAGGAAAAAAAACTGGCAACCTTGAAACAATTGAGTCAACCGCGTTCACGTTTTTTTTTTCAAAAAAATAAAAATAGAATCAAAAGAGAGAGAGAGAGAGAGATTAGAGATTTAGAGAGCGCCTAATATCGCGTATTCAGAAGAATTTGGTGAGATAAACTAACAAGATTGCCAAGATGCTCAACTTTTCTTTCTAGAAGCTCTATAACTAAAGGCAAAATGAGGAGATAATTTGAATACCGTGTCAAATATGAAAGGCGGCAATTTGAAATCTGAAAAAATGTGTGAAAAAAAGTAAACGAGAGTATTCTCGGAGTACGCACACAAACACGCACGCATTGCTGCCAACCAAGACCTAATCATTTTCCGTCATCACGAACCAAATGTCTTTTTCGCCTCGCGGCGGCGACGACGACGACGACGGCTGCCGCCTCTCGCGCACTATTCTGTTCTGTTGTGTTGTGTTTTACTTTCACCCGTACGGCCCGGCCGCCTATGGTTTTGTTCCGAAACTGATCCCAATTTCTGTACAAATCTTTTGATTTTTTCCAATCCGCCTATTCCACAACCCATTTTCATTTTTTTTTGTTCCTCGTAAATTTCTCTTGTGATACGCACCTGCCGAGATCTTGATGCGTCATTCGTTCGTGTTTCAAAAGGCCTTTTATGGGCCGAAACAATGGTGTTGAGTTGGTTTTGGCGAGCGGCGATAACTGTTTTTGCCGCGCTATTCGTATTTATTTTCGATTCCGTGTTTCGATTATCAGGCAATTAATCATCTGAGATATACACCAATCGCCCAACCCCGATGTTCATTGTCGTTCATTTCTCCCTTCATCGGATTCTTCAACTTTTCATCGCAATTCCAATTTGTCAAGGTTTCAAATTCGATTTGTCAGTTGGAGACTACGAGAATGATGATGAGCGAGTGACCTTCTTGTTGTTTCTTCAAAATTTGTATCATTAGGATGTTCTACACCAAACCATCAATAATAATGCCAAAAAAAGAAACCGCAATTAGTTTTCTCAAAAATTGAATAGCGCATTTCGCTTTTCGCTTCGAGACCTATCTAATCGTTTTGTGCAATTTCGAATTTCGACAATTCCTCGTTGCCTTCGAAACCATCCTTTCAATTTCTTCAATATTTGATACGATTTTTTCTTATCACTGATCACAGTTTTAAATTGCAAAAATCTCAAATATTAATTGAATCGAATTGTGGAAAATTTTATCAATTTTGACTCCAAAATATTTTAAAATTAAAAGAAAATCTTGCCGAGTTTTGGATTTTTCAGAAAATAAATATTTTTTGGAATTATGATTTTGAATATCCCAGATTTATTATTCAATATCTCGCAAATTTGTTTTTCGCTTAATAATCTCCTCATTTCATTTTTTGCTGGCCCAATATTCTCCGACGATTTCTTCTCACTCGTTTGATTCGATTTCAATTTTTTTTCTGTTTGATTATGCAACTCTTCGAAATCCTCTACATTTATTTTCGTCATCATATCTACCTTGTTTTTTTGATCACTTCAAACGTCGTTTCGACGAATTCTTTGGGGGTGCCAAGACGAAAAAAAAATCTCAGCGCAACCCATTATTTTTGTCGAATGTTTGCCATCAATTACTTTCAAACATTCCATTTCGAATAGCATGTTTGAATTCAAACTCGAAATTCTTCAATCTTTTTCATTATTATGTTTTTTTTTTTGGTGATATCGGTGCCCATTTCGTTTCAATGCTTATTTAATGCGATTCGACGGCAGAAACCCACACCCAAAAAAAGTGTCTCATAATGCAGTGCGAATGGTCTATAAACAGGTTTCTACGGGGCGTTTTCGCCATAATTGGTAGCAGGCGCGAGATTTCAAAACGATCCGCTATTGGCATGAAACAATTGGGTCTTAACGGGAAAATATGTACATGCATTGTATACGGTAGAATGACTCACATATTACTATCGAATCAGAACAATTTGTTCAAAAGAAAAAAGAAGAGATGCTACAATGATTTGTTGTCGCGTTTTTATTAAGAATTGGTTACGTATATAGATGATAGCGAATAATTATTATATGTATAGTTAAGCCCAAATAACAAATCTTGATTCACACGAAATCAAATTCACATCAAACGCGCAAACAAATCAAAAAATGGCGTTTTTTTTTTGAAGGAATGAAACATTCGGTTTTACACTTTTTTTTTTGAATTGGTTGGCGAGAAGAGCCGCGCATTACACTGTGCACGATTGGCGCCGAAAATGATCTGCTTTTGCATTCAGTTTTTCCCGTTTTATTTTTGTGGTATCAGCTCATGTTTCTTTGTATTTATTTACTTTGCACATGTATGTATTTTGCATATTCTTTGAATCGCATACTAAGAATAATAATATTTTATGACAGTATGCGTACATTGAATGTCCGCCTAGCAATGATATAGTCGTTCAGAGGCGGGGGGGTTATTCATTTGAAGAAAGAATCAAAAACATTTCAAAGGAGAAGCTTCATATTTTGCTATTGCTCTTTTGAGCTTCACCCTTGAATTGCATAATAATAATAATAATAACATCATGTTTGCACTTGAGACCAGTTGACTCTGTGATGACAAAAAATGAAGAAGTGAGTGAGTGAGTGCGCCTAGCAACGAACGCTGAAATCAAGCAGCGAGGTGAGGCCGCGCTGGGCCGGCCGGACGTGATACGAAACTGCGCGCCGCCTATCTATTCAAATCTCGTTCGATGATTTTCATTCTTTGCAATCGATTTGACACTTTTCATTGCCAATTTGTCTATCTTTATCATTTTCATTCGACGCTGTTTATTTATGATCAATTTTCTCCCGAAATTCGTCTTTGCCCTCATTTATCTTGCTAACAAAGAAGGGACCTTCTCGAATTGCATGCCTTTGACTCGTTTCCAAAAAAGGGCATTTGCTCGCTGTCCGAATCGCCTATTCACACATGAAATTGACCGCAACGTTTGTTCAACTGTGGTGAAAATTAGGCGCTTTATTGACCTTTCCAAAACTATTTTTTTAATGTGTGTTTTCCTCTCGTTCTCTCATTTTTTTCTCTCTCACATCTCCGATTAAAATTATAATTATTAATATTGATATTTCCGAAATCGTTTGTTTTTTTTCTCTTTCGTTGATAGCTAATCTTCAACATTCTTTTTTTGCCTTTCAATTAGATTTTTTTCGTCGTCGTCTTCTTGCTTGTGAACTAATAAACATTGCATTGAAAAAAGCCGGCAGAAATTCGTTTTTTTTTCTCGAATTATAAATCAAATACCAGAAATTTGAGCATATTTTTTTTAGATTTTTCGACGAACACATCTCAAACTTTGAAATTGACTAAATTTCAATATAAAACCCATTATTCTATTCTTAAATATCTCATCTGTAATTTTCAGCAATACCTAGCTAAAACTGGACCCTTCTCAATTTTTATTCTGTTTTGAATTTATTTTTGAAATACCTGACATATTTATATGCCAATAAATAACATGAGAGGAAATTTAAATATTTTTTTGGTGTTTTATTGCTAGTAGAATCTTTAAATTTTCTATTTAACCTTAAAATCATTTTTCATATCTGAGTATCATTCGATAAAAAAAAGTCCAAAATGAGCACTAGGAACCGATGCTCTTTTTTTTTTCTAACTGTCAATATATCAAGTTTCGCCATACATAATAAACAAGTAACTAAAAAAAAGAGAACAAAAAGAATGAGAACGTCGAAAAAAAATTAGAAGCGATCGGTGTGGCGGGTGAGTTGTGCGTTGTAATCTCCGCACCCTCCCCTACTGTTAATCTCGCGAAAGCTTTTGTTGCTCCGTTGCTCCAGATGTTTGATTGTCTGCGTCTCGTCCACGGGATCCCCCCTCCCACATTTCATCTTCGAGTTGTCCTTCATCCACACCGTTCAAAACTCTCTCATGTTGATTTTTCCAACCCCAATTTGTCGTCCCCCGTTTGTCAGTATCCCTCGATCAGCTTGGTAATTTCAGGTTCATGAGTGAGCACACTCGAAAACCTCTTCCAATTCGACAGGGTTTGTCAATTCGATTCGAAACCAACGAAATGTTTGATATTTCAGGAAGAGAACTCGATCGTCCTCGATGGACTGTGACAAGACGCGAAGAAACTCGACACTCGCCGTCGAGGTAGCATTCATGATTTATTTTCGAATTTATTAAACCGGAAATGACAGAAATAATCGGAACTCTTAATCGATGATTGGGCAATATTTCGAAAAATTCAAGAAAAAGATTTACGAAAATTTTGAAAGATAAACTTTGACAAAAGTTCATTGACTCAAAAGAGAAAAAAGAGAGATAGGAGATATTGTGAAAGACGAAACAAGAAAGCCTTTGTAACTCTGATAAATGAAAAAAAAATCGTTTTCAAAATGAGCAAAAAAGCTGATTTGATTGGGCCATTTTTCAGGAAATGGTGCTTTGCAGATTTTTAATTTTTTTTCTTCAAAAACGGCTCATAATATTTTGATTGAAATTTGATACAGAATTTATATTCTATAGTTCCTAGATTTGATTTCAAGTTTAATGAATTTTTTGTTTGAAAATTCGAGAATTTTCGACCGACTGCTGTGATAATGGACTTATTCATGCAATGAAAAAAAATTAATTTTTTTATTTGAATTCCCTATGTACGCACGTCGAAAATTACAAAAAATTGACGCGATATATCGTACTCTCCGCTGTTTATTTTCAAAGGCGCACGCGAAAAGTTACGCGGGTCACGAAGCGAAGACGGTACTGTATTATTTTAATGGCTGTTTTTTTTTCGAATTTTTTATTTTTTGAGCGTTTAAAACTTATTTTTAATCTGTGAAAGCATTTTGTTTAATCAACGCTAAAGGTTAATAAGAAACGTCATCGAGCGAAGTCTGCATCTAATAAACACAAATATCACAATTTTTCATAATAAAAAATTGGATTTATTTTGTTAAAAACCATATTTAGTTAAAAAATAGTTTATTTAGTGGAAAAATACGAATTTCATTAAAAAAGTATTTATTTAGTTAATAATCATATTTAGTGAATTTAGTTAAAAATATTTAGTTAATAATTAGTGGCCTAATTTTATCCGTTATTCATATCCTCTTCAAAGTTTTCGAAAAATACGGAAAAATAAAAATACGGAAAAAAATAATAATAACATCATGTTTGCACTTGAGACCAGGGGTATTCAAATGAAAAAATAGGAAATTCAAATGAAAAAAATTGACTTAAAAATTTTTTTTTCATTGCGATAGTTCTTCCATTAGTCGATCCATGAATTCCAAGTTTTCCGGTCCTTTTCCTTTTTCTTGTTTTTGGGAACAACAAAACACACATTCATGAGGAAACACATTTTTTAAAAATAGCATTCATTAAGAACTATAAAAAATGTGCAATTTGGCGTTGAAAAACAGTAAAATAGTTGAGTTTAAAGATAAATCAAATTTGAATTTTTTGAAACTCCAGGGAAGAAGTTCAGATGTATTGTTTCAAAGCTTAAAAAATTTCAGACCGACTTCTCCGTTTCAGTCGAGAAGCGTAACGACAACCGAAAGAGTGCATATTGTGCAATTGCCAGTGACAGATACTTCCCAGGTTCGCATTGAATTTCGACGATCGTCGAAATATAGCATGTCGATTTTCAGCTGTCACCTGCGCATATTCTCGCCCTCTCTCCACATGGAAATACGTCGCAGTCCGTCTCATCGATTGTAACCACTAATCAGGTTGATCTTAAATTGATGTTTGAATCAAAACACAACACCTGATGTTCAGGCTGAAGGTATCGGATTGATTGGAGCGGTGACCGCTTCTGGAGTTCCACTGCACAATGGAATCATATTCAATCGTGACACGAAACAAACCACGACTATAATCACAACCACGACAACAACATATAAGATTCTTGAGGTGAAACACATTTGGGGCAATTCTGAAAAAAAGAAAACTTCGAAATTTAGGTTAGCGATAGCGATTCGCTTTCTGATGACTATGAAATGGTTGATGACAACACATTGACAATTGATGTTGATTTGACTGAACGAGTACCTTCGCCGAACTACGTGATCGTTTCAAAAAGCGAGACGAATGCTCCGATGTCGCCAATCACCAAAGCGAGCCTGAATATTGATTTGGAAATCCCGCCAAGAATCAGCGAAACACAACGACATCAAGACATTGAAGATTTTCCGATCACTTCAATCGTCAACGTCTACCATTGCGGACATACTGACAATGAAAATAGCAGAATGGCAACGATGAAAATTCCGATTTATGAAGAATCACAATATGTTGCAAATGATGAACAAACCGCTTCGACTTCGTCAGATGGATCGTTCGAATATGTTGAGGTGAGTTAGAACAGTTAAGACATCACTCATGAAACACCTACTTAAGGAGACAAAATTACACT